CACCAACGGCGCCGACGCACTTCAACCTGCCATTAATCGCAAGAAGCAGAAGCGTCGCGCAAAGGCTGCTGCGAAAGCTGCCGCGGAGCAGGCCGTCGTCCCCGTCCAAACCCCGAATGGCCGCCCCAGTCATCCACCTGGCGCCCCGGCGCCCAAACTCCAAGCTGCCCAAGATGACGCCGACCAGGATTTCAGCGACGACGACCCCGAGGACCAGCCTTCCTACGACGACCATTCCAACACAAACGGCATCGCATCCGCAAAGTCCAAAAAGAAGAACAAGAAGAAGAAGAAGGCCGGCAAGACCCAGCATCTGCCCGACCCTCAATTCGACAACCTATCGCATCCCCCCCACTCTCCATTGGCCCCGCGTGGCAATGGGATTTCAAAGGACAAGATCTGGAACACCAGCTCTCAGGAGGAGCGCGAACGCATCAAGGAGTTCTGGCTGGGTCTGGGCGAGGATGAGCGCAAGTCGTTGGTAAAGGTCGAGAAGGATGCCGTCCTCAAGAAGATGAAGGAGCAGCAGAAGCACACGTGCAGCTGTACCGTCTGCGGCCGAAAGCGGACCGCTATTGAGGAGGAGCTGGAAGGTCTCTACGACGCTTACTACGAGGAACTCGAAACATTTGCTCACCAGGGCGAAGGCCCCCCACTGCTCGGTAGTCACGGGCGCGAGTTTCCTCTGCGGCCGTCACGGCTGCCGTCAGGCTATTCGGGGCAACCACCATCGCGTGGCCGCATAATCGAGCACGTCGGCGACGATGAGGATGACGAAGAGCCCGAAGATGAGTATAGCGACGACGAGGAGGACCTTGACGACGACGAATATGATAGCGAAGATGAGCCCCCCGAGGACGCTCACGACGCTCACCCTCACGACCACCCTCATGATCGAGACGTGGCAGATTTCTTGACGTTTGGGAACAGCCTGCAAGTCAAGGGTATGAAGCTTCTGGACTCTCTACTCTGCAGATATGGTAACATGGACTTAGGCGGCATACTCACCGTTGCGGATGATCTTCTCAAGAACGACGGCAAGCGCTTCATTGAGATGATGGAGCAGCTCGCCGAGCGTCGCATGGCCCGAGAAGAGGACGCCAAGGAGCACTTTGCTCGTGGCTATGCTCATCCCACTAGCGGCTCATACTCGAATCATAACCATCCTCCTCCCGAAGACGACTACGACGACGAAGACGAGGAGGAGGATGAGGACTATGATGACAGTCAAGAAGAGGAATACGAGGATGAAGAAGTGAGCTCCTCTCAATACACGTATGACCATAAACACTCGAGTACTGAGCATATTTGTTGTCATCATCAGGACACGATGACCGAGGAGCAGCGCATGGAAGAGGGTCGTCGCATGTTTCAAATATTCGCAGCTCGCATGTTTGAGCAAAGGGTGCTCACAGCGTATCGAGATATGGTCGCGAAGCAACGCCAACAACAACTCATTGCGGAACTCGAGGAGGAGACGCGGCAGGAATCCCAGCGGAAGGCGAAGAAGGCAAAGGAGAACCAGAAGCGCAAAGACAAGGCCGCCCTCAAGAAACAGATGCAGGCCGAGGAGAAGGCGCGAAAGGAGGCCGAGAAAGCTGCGGAAGAGGCTGCCCGACTCGAGGAGCAGAAGAAGAAGGCGGAAGAACAGCGGCTCAAAGCCGAGGAGAAACGCCGCAAAAAGGAAGAGCAGAAGCGCCTCGAGGAGGAGGATCGACTGCGCAAGGAAGCTGAGCGGCTACGACGTGCTCAAGAACAACAAGAGAAACGCGCCGAGGCAGAACGCAAAGCGCGCGAGTTGAAGGAGAAGCAGAAGGCTAAGGAGGCACGCGACAAGGAGTCTCGCGAGCAGAAGGAAAGGGAAGCCCGCGAGCGCAAGGAGAAGCAGGAACAGGCCAAGCGGGATAAGGACCAAAAGGCCAAGGCGGAGCGAGAAGCCAAGGTCGAGAAGGAGGCCAGGGAGAAGCTGAAGCAGGAGGAGAAGGCAGCGCAAAAGGTTGCCGCTGCGGCAGCCGCTGCGGTTACTGTTGCTGATGCTGCCCCTATTCCGATCCCGAACCCGAGCCGGCGGCCATCGCAACATCCCGTGTCGATCCCGACACACCCGTCGAATCCAGCATCCTATGCATCTCCAAAGATACCCGTTGCGACGCCGGCTATTCCCAAGGCGCCAACACCGATCCGCCCGAAGAACGCAATCCAGCCACAGGATGTGAGCATGCCTGGATCGCATGCGTCGCAGTCCAGCTCAACGAGCCAAAATCCATCACCACACCCCGCCACGCCGGGTCACACGAGTCCGGCGCCGATTGGTTCAAGGAAAGGAAGCGTGGCAACGACAACATCACTGCCGCATCCTCACTCTGTGTCACCGTCCACCATGAAGGGGCCAATGGGCGCAACACCAGGCCCGTTCGGCATGCCAACGAGCATGCCGCCACCCGGCTTTGGAGGACCACCCCCAGGGTTAGGAAACCGGATGCACGAGCCGATGTTTGGTCCCCCCGGTATTCCTGGCTTCGGAAGGCCGCCCCCGGGCATGATGCCCGGCCCACCCGGCCTCAACGGGCCTGCCGGACGAGGTTTCATGACACACCCGCCGCCGGGCTTCGGCGCACCCATGGGCGATCCATTGCACGGAATGGGCTCGGCCCCAGTGTCACATTCTCGCCAGGCATCGGGAAGCTTTACAGAAGCATCTTCTCCGGCGCCGTCGCAGCCCATCGGGAGACCGGCGCCTATCGGCCGACCCGGCAGCGTGGTGCAAGGACAGCGAGACGACCAGGACGACTTTGCCAATCAGCACCTCGGCAGCAGCGCGCTGTTGGACGAGTTCGACGACCCGAACCTAAACCCGCTCTCTGCGCCTTTCAACGCCATGGGAAGAGCGCGCCAACAACCCCCTAGACCGGCGTTCCCGAGCATCCCCTTTGGCATGGACAATGCATTCCACAACATGAACAACGTCTGGGGCCCGTCACCCATGAACTTCGCCCCTCCACCGCCCGGACTTGGAAATCCCACCTGGGGCAGCCCGATGATGCAGCCGATGCCGTCCCTGGGTCAAATACGCACCGCCGGCAACCCGCGATCCGTCACGGTCCGTCTCATGCTCTGCCGAGCCTGCAAGGAGCTACAGGCACGCAGCGAGGAGCCGGAGTCCTTCATCGACATGTCGGCTGTCAAGTCAGAGGTGGATCATCTGAGCCGCATGGACGTTGTCTCGGAAGACGAACTTCTGGACCTGCTCGAGACGGAGGGAAACGCGCACAACGGTGGTGGTACGTTTGAGATCCGACGAGACGCAAACGGCCCCGGCAAGCACACAGTTCGCTGGGTGCCCGAGTTCAGTGACCTGTCCCAGCCCCAACACAGGGCGGTAGGCGCCCCGGGCGAGATCGGTAGCCCCATCATCGGCGGCGGGTCGTTGACGTTTCTGTCTAGGGGGCAGTAGGAGCGTCCACCTAGCAGGAACTCGCGGGCGTCCACGGCCGCCGCTGCGGACACCAACCATGCCCCGGGGATTAGGTCTCTGTTCAGGGCCATGCAGTCGGGTCGCTCGCACTTCGGCGCCGATCCAAAGCCCTTTGCGAGTAACCGCGAGTAGTATCGCGTGCACGGGTTCTGGGATGAATGAGACTTGAAATAACCCCAACCCAATGTTGAGGGTAGCGTTAGGAATATGCATATCAAAGTGATGCAGAGCGTGGGTTTATCATGGAGGAGGAGGGCAGCGGCTGTCGGCCTCGAGCGTCCACGCCGGCCGGCTAATAGAATACCTGGTTCTTTCTGCGCAACAGTCGTCCATGAACGTGAAGCCGTGTTTCCATCTTGTTAACCGTCCCTGTTCCCAACTTGAACATCGCCCCTGACATTCGCAGGCAGAAGAGCCAGCCTTAACCAACACCAGATACGCCCTAGCCATCCGCTTCAACTCGATCCCCGTTCTCAAAAAGAACCTCCGTTGCCAAATATCTCCCCGTCCTACCAAAAGTACCCATCCCCTCCAAGTCCCCCCCCAATCTCCACACCCCAACCAACACAAGCCACCACCACACCTCCCTCCAACCCTGACTCCGCCCCGCCCCGCGCACATCCGGCGCAATGCACATTTTTTTCCTGCGCGTCCCACTTCTCCCGCACACACAGACGCACACACACTGACATGCACATGCACCATTCATAAGCCCCCATCCGCGTCTCCGCAGCACCACAGAAACCCGTTGTCTGAAGCCGGTCGCCCGGCTAGCTCAATCGGTAGAGCGTGAGACTCTTAATCTCAAGGTTGTGGGTTCGACCCCCACGTCGGGCTCAATTCCCGTCAGCGATTGGCATGACATTCCAGCGGTGCGTTTGTTTCAATTTCGTCTTTTGCGTGATTGACCTTTTTTTTGTCTGTTTTGCTGGTGTTTGTTGTTCGCAAGCACACTCGTTGTTTTTGGGACTCCGCTCCTATACATAGAGAAGAACATCGTCCAGCCCTTCTAACTTGGTCCTGATGGCGCCGCTGTTCACCACTGTACATGTTTCATCATCAATCACCCCGCAAGAGAGAGACACGTGCATCACTAAGCCATCACGAAGTAGTTCCAAAGGAGTAAATCTAATTGTCTATATGGTATTTCATATCTCATCAAACCCCCTCCCGCCGTGAACGATACTCGGTAACAGGTAAGAAGGGGGCCGGCTCTAACAACGAGACACGGTCCGCCGCGGTGGCCGGCTTCGGTGGGTGTGTCTCGTTGGGTATCAAGGTCTAGTCTAGTGGGTGGTCTATGATTTATAAATAACATCAAAGAAATCGAAAAGACAAAGAGAAGAAGGGGAAAAAAGAAAAGTCTATCTTGGCGCGCCGCCCATCAGTCATGAGACATTAGATAATACATGTTTTTCGTCATATGAACAATGAAAGGAAAAAAAGGGTTCCGGGTTAGGGTAGACTCCTAATCTCCAAAAGAAAAGGGAGGATGTGAGCAACGGAAGCTGCACTGGGACGAGGCTCAGATCCACGCAGGCAACGCTGCGCCGCGGTCCTCGGCGCCACCCCTTTTCTTGAGCCTCAGGTTCTCGAGACTGCGCTTGCCCCAGCTGAGATGGCGCTTCTGCTTCGTCGTCGTCGCCGTCGGAGGAACCTGCAGCAGCGGCCCAGAGGAGCCTTCACTGTCTGCTGTCGGACTGAGGTCACCCATGCTCTGATTCCAGGGCGCGATAGGGTTTTCATGAATGGGAGGAGAGGGGTAGAGCATAGGGTCGAAAAGCTGCTCGTCCTCAGGGGGCCCGAGAACGACGTTGGCAGACCAGTCGTCCCGCTCGGGGAGGACCATAGGCGTGCCAGGATGAGGATATTCCAGGGAATCGGGCTCTTCGGGAATGGAGCGCGGCGGCGGGTGGGAGACGGTGGCGTGGTTGACGGGGAAGAGGAAGCGACGCAGGGTGAAGAGGGTCTGCGGGCCGGTCGTAGATAGTTGTTGCGTGACTTGAAGCTCAGAGTGGCCCTTGGAGGAGAAGGCGCAGGTATGCAGGAGAGGACGGTTTGCGACGCCTGGAAACTCGGGGGCGGGGTGCTCCGGGGAGGAGAAGGAGGTCTGACCGAGTGTCCAGGCCGCGTGGAGGATGCGAGGGACGTCAAGTAGGTGTCTGCACTCGAGGAGCTTCTTGAGGTCACCGGAGCTTCTGGGCTGCCAGCGCAGCTGGTTACGAGCCGACTTGTCCCATAGAGTGTGCTTCCACTCGTCCTTCAGACTTCTCTGGCGCAAGAGGTTCTGGACCTGATGATAATAGGTCCACTCCGAGGCGGCGCTGCGCTTGTCAAAGTGGCCTGCGAGGTGGTCGAAGAATGTCTCTGCCGTGGAGGAAGCATCGACGTCGGAGGTTGATTCAAAGACTTCCTTGCAGCCGATGAAGCCGCATGCGAAGACGACCTGCGGGCAAAGATCCTGTTTTGTGGTGTCTGGCGGGGGGCAGTTATCGCCGTGCTCGGAATTGAAATGAGCGATGTATGCCTTTTCAAAGTCGAATACCATACGGCAGCACGGGTGGGGGCATACCCAGAGGGCGTTTGCGTGATGGAAAGTGAGGAGGTGCTTCTTGAAGTCCGACTTGCGGCCGAAGCCGACGTGTACATCGTAGACGGCGCACATGGGGCACTCTATCGGCTTGCGCGCGGCCGACCTTTGAGGGCAGGTCTTGGTACATGGAGAGATCTGGGTGCTGTCGAGCCAATCCGACCCGGAGAGCGAGGGTGTGTCGGGGGAGAGGAGGAAGGCGGGCTCAGAATCCCAGGCTGGGGAGAAGAAGGAGCCAGACATGGAGGCAGCATCATCACAGACGGAGGCCGACGAGGTAGACCAGGGGCCGGATGATGTCAGTGAAGGCGCATTGGAGCCAAAGGTTGTTGTAGAGAGAGCAGAGCTGCGAAGGGGGGGGCGGGCTGGAGCTGATGTTGGAGCCGGAGAGGTGATGTTTCGCAGTGTGTAAGTGAGGCTGTTTGTACCGTAGCGCGCCGAAAGATCGCGGAGGATCTGGATGTCTTCCGCAGACATGTTGGGCTGTGCCGAAAACATCTTGTTGTTGAGTCGAAGCTCAGCTCAGCCGTTGACGAGACTGAAGTCGTATTTTTATATTGACATGGGTGGATGTGGTGTTTGTCAGTTAGTGTCCAACGTTGACTGGACCAAACGAAGGGATGGATATAACGGGTGTGACGAGATCCCGGATCGATGCGAGAAAGACCGTTGTTATGTAGTGATCGAGTGATCCTGACGGCTGGAATAAACCGATAAAAAGTACCCAAGAGTGCGTCAGAAAGGGCAGCGAGTCGAGGTTTAGTACCCTCGCCAAGCGACGACGTCAAAGGGCTGGGTTGTCGCGCAGGGCAGCCGGGCCCAGGGACGGCGGGTGCAGCGGTGTGTGGCGAACATTGGGGTAAGGAAGCCGTGGAAATGTTCTGGCGTGTCGTTGGGTGATGGTAGCGCCGCCGCTGTGTGGTTGTGAGTGGTGTCGTGACGCCTCTTTTCGCATTAGCGCGGGCGCAAGACTCAGGACTGAAGACTGCGCTGCCGGGGTTCACATGGTTGCCTTCCTTGCCCTTCGCGGAAGGCTTCGAGAAGGTGGGCGGCTGGGGAATGGGTGTTCCTTCGTCTTGTCTTGGCCTCCTCCCGTTCGCTGAGAAATGTTCAGGTCGTGGATTCGGGTGAGATGCTTCATCTCACAAGGAGCAAATCACGGCCGCAGGCAGCCGGGTCGGCAGGGGTGGGAATGAACCTGCAGCCCATGTCGTGAATTCCCCGGTTTGGCCAGATCTGCGAGTGCGTTGCGCCCTGTTCGTACCTCTAGAGACAGGTCGACAGGAAGTCTTGCATACGCCACGGTCCAACCGGTGTCAGCGCGGCTGGAAAATGGAAGAAAAATTGCTGATCTAATCTCGTCTGGTGCGTGGTTGGCGAACCGGATGTCGCAGGGCTCAAGACACATGCATTTCTCCCTTGCACGTCTCTCGTCATGCCCGGATGACGGCCCTCCTGTCTGACTGCAATGACTGGTGGGGGAAGCCTGGGATGGAGGCTGTGCAGCCCAGCTAGCAAAAGCCAAGACTCGTTAGCCGGCTTCTAGAAGGGCGCTAGAACAAAGGATGCAGAAGCTGGGTGGAGGAGCGTATGACGACGTCGGGGGGGCTGTTGGGCCAGGAGGTGCGCGTCCCTGCTGTCGTAAGGGCCTTGTGGTAACTCGTAAGGACACTGGGAGCGGTCTAGCTAGGCTTCCTTTTTTTTGTGTAAGTGGGAGTGATTGGGAATGGACGACTTGGAATCTGGATGTGGTTCGTCGTGTGAGTGTCTCTCGAGTCTCGCGCCGTCCGGGGCCGAGTCGGGCGAGAGAAGAGGGTCCAGCTCCAGTCCCCAGGATGAGCGTCCTTGGTGGACTCGGTCAGGTTGCGTGTGTGTCGCTCTCCCGCGCATCTTCTTTGTCTGCCCTAGGTAGTCTGGTAGTCAAGCTACAGGCCAGGATTAGCGGCTAGCGATTTGCGATCTTCTTTGTCCGCGGCTGAGCGGGAAGGGAAGATCTGGAGAAGCGTGAGGGAGACGATGATCCGAGGCGCGAGGAAGGTGTAGGTTTTCCGTGGCATCAAGTCAGGTCACGCGACGACGGCCAGAAAGAGCCGGAGGGGTTGGAGGCCGGGTGCCGGTTGTTTGAGAGGTCCAGTTTGGCTAAGGCGAGGTGACCGTTGAAAGAGGGCGACTACTTCTGCGCTGTTGACGTTGGATGCCACCGCATCGGTGGATGGCACGATGCAAGATGTTTCCTGCTTTCCCATGTCAGGCAGGAGCCACAGCTTCGAGGGCGCCTTCTAGCTGGAGGTAAGGTTAGGTGGTGCAGGTAGCGACGATGGAACAAAGTGGAAAAACACGGTCCGCCACAAGAACCCCTCCTCAGGCGCAAGCCTCAAACGTCCACCAGAAGGGGGCAGCTGCCAGCTTCATCGACTTTGCAGGAAAGCTCGACGAAATGCCTGCCTTTCCGAGCTTAATCAGAATGTGAAGGAACCAACGCCGCATGCCTCAGTCGCCACCACTCTTTCCAGCCTCACCAACGGCGGCGTCGCCTCCACAAACACCGCCAACCGTGCACGCACTTACACATTGACACGCGCTCTCTTCTTGTCTGTCTGTCTGTCTCTGCCAATGGAGGGCATCTATCTCGGTGCGTCGCAGGGCTGGGTTATGTGCGGGGACTAGGTTCCCAGGCAAGCTATCCGTAACGCAGGTACGAATAACACAGAGCACTGAAGGACGGGGATCGGTGTTTGAGGGGTCCAGTGCTGGAGTTCTGTGGGGCGTTTGCCGGCTGCTGGGCTGGAGAGAATCCCCATCACCCATCACCCATCCCCCGGGGCACCCTCCGTCTCCCGATTTCCCGGCGTCTACCATCCCGTCATCTTCCATGCTCCTCCTCCTCCCCACAGAAGCCGTCCGGCAAACTCAGGTGTAATGTGAAGTCCGACACTCCCCCATCCTCCCCCGTCGTCCGCCCTCCTGCTCCACTCCCATTTCTTCACCACCAGAGTCCATGTCCCTCAAAGCTGGCAGGCATCATTAACAACAACAACAACAACGTATTCCTCCCACATCCGACAGAAAAAACACCTCACCTCACCCCAGCAGCACCAAGAAAACTTTAACACCGCTTAAGCGGAGCATTCTCGTCTCATCGCCCTGTTCCAACGTAACGCGGGTACACCCGAACTCGGTGATCCTCCCCCATCCATCCCCCAAGGCCCAAGTCATGCACCCGGTCCTGAGCCAATCTCTCCCCATGCCCTTTCTTAATCGCGTACCTTACGCCAGTGACCATCCATCCACCCTTCCCCCGTCACCTCGCACTTCGACACGCCAAACGGGATGCCCGTCAAGATATGAGCCGCTCTTCCCACCCAAGAAAAAAGATGAAACGGCGCCCCCCATGCCTCGTAGAGATAACAGTCAAAACGCTCCCTCCCCCTCCTACCTTACCCCCCCTGGCATCCTTCAACATCCTACCTGCACCTGCAGCGTCAGTCAGCCCGATCTTCGGATTTCCAACGCATCACACAGTCGCAACTTCAGGGCTTTAATTGACTTCATCCGATGCCGTCCCTTCCTCTCTTACAAGACCGAGTGCGCTTCACAACGCACAATATCCGCAGCGCCCAAGTTTCCGCTTACCTCACACTCACTGCGTACTTACACCACCCCCCTTCCCTTTCCCTTGCCCATCCGCCGCCATCTTCCCCCTCGTCCTTTCCCTCCCGCACTCCGGGGCCGGGGGTGCCACGTGGTGCCACTGCCGTCGCAGACAAGATCCCTCAACCTCCTTCGAGTGCCCCGTCCAGGGACCTGGCTCCTGTAACCATGCCACCCTCCCACATGACTCGATTGCCTCACCTTACCTGCTCACTCTTTTGCCCTTCATGACAATCGTCTTGTCCTGGCTGCGATGCCGACTGAGTCGGTTTGTTTAGACGAGATGCTGCTGGACGCGCGGCGTCCGTTCTCGATGCAGAAATAGACGCTGTAAACATCGGACCGTTTTTGCTAGATTATCTCAACTTGTAGCCTCTGCGGCGTAAGGCGTGAATTGAGTTTCCGTGGATCGACTTCCACGGGTGAATCTCCCTCCATCATCGTGCGTCGTTATTAGGACGTCTCATGTGCTCGCCCTGCAAACATGCGGCATTATCTGCCCACCTGTGTCATGTGTAAAGAGACATGCGTTCCGAATATCGTCGTCACTTATCACTGCTGCAGTCATTAGTTTTTCAAACAATGCTCGTTCAAATATGCGGTTCAATGTAAATGTAAATGGCTTCATTTGTGAAGAAAATAGATCGATTCCAGCCACGCCTTGTGGGTATAATGTGCAACATGGCATACACTTTCCCTTGATGCTACCGTGAATCCTTGCCCTCCCCTACCTGTTCCGCCTGCGTCCATGCTTCCTCCATTTCGTCCCGTCTCTCTAAAAAGAGCTCGACCGCGTTTTATGTGCTCTTGTCGCTCGTAATAGAGGCCGTCCTGGATGACCTAGTTCCCAGAGATTCGTCGTAGTGTACAGTCCTCCTCTTTCGCCCGTCCCTCGTCATCCAAGATAGTAGTAGCTTTAGTTGAAAAGGAAATAACGGCGGTCGACTGTTATTGGGTATATAGTCTTGCTGGAAACGCCGAAGAAGAAAATGTCCAAAAAAGAAAAACATCTCGTGCGCGAGATGAAGCTGTGATTTGCGTAGTCATACAGTGTTGTTGATACATGGTTGGTGAGCTTGCTGGCGGATGGTCGATCGGCCTCGAGGCTTTCAGTAGGCCTGTCCCGGCGGGAAGAATCCATCAGGATTGCCTGACATGGAAGGGCTTGTCAGGTTTGCGTGAGGAACGTAAGACGACGAAAAGTCCGTCATCATCCCCGGATCCTGCATCTCCACGTCTTGTTCGGGCGTGCCCCCGGCCATGCTCCGTAAACTCTGCATGTCGTCCGCAATGATGCCGCTGTGATGCATGTTGCCGTTGTTACCAAACTGTTGGCTTGCACCGTTCGGGTCGAACATCTGTGCCTCGGGCATTGTCTGGAAGAAATGTCCGAGCGTGCTGTGATTCTGTCCGTTGCTCTGGTGGCTCTGACTGTGGTGGCTTGATTGTGAGGAATGCGATAGACGTGTCTGGCTGGCCATCGCACTCGACGTCTGCATTTGCTGGTGAGGATGGTGGAGCTGCGGAGGCCGCACTACCCGCTGCTGTCTCGGCACATAGACTCTTCGCTGAGAAGCCATGTAAGCAGCCAGCTGAGGGTTTGCTCCGCGCGAGATCTTGAAAGAGAAGGGGTCGGCCGGCTCGGGGGGTGCCATGCTTTGCTGCCTGGATCGGTGACCGGACATGTGCATTGTGCACGTGTCGGCGACGGGAGTGATGAAGTCCTCGCGGAATTTGCCAATGCTGCTGGCGTCAGTACCAAGAAGGAAAGCATACTGGATGAGGAGCTTGAGATCGCCAATGTGCCGGCATTCCAGTCTCTTCCTCAAGATTCCAGACGTCTGGGGGTTCCACTGCAGCGACGTTCTCGATGCTTCGTTCCACATCGACTCGTTCCACGCAGATTGCACCTGGCTCTGGCGCAGAAGATTGCGTATCCTTGCCGAGTACGACCACTCGCCGCTGTTGGTACCTTCGTCGAAGTGCTTCACCACGTGGCTGACGTATTCCTTGAAGGTTGAGCTGGCGTCGGAATCTCCCTGGGCCTCGAACACCTGCAGACAATTGTCGAAGCCACAGGCAAACACGACCTGCGGGCAGAGGTTGACCTTGGCTTCGTCGAGAGACATTCTGGAACCACCATGGGCTTGCTTCAAGTGCGTCTTGTAGGCACCTTGCCAATCGAACACCATCTGGCAGCCGCGGTGACGACAGAACCATTGCGCGTTGACGTTGTGGAAGTCTTCGATATGCCGCTTCAGATCGTTTTTCCTTGTGCAGGTCTTGGTAATGTCTTCCTCTTTACAGAAGCCGCACATGAAAGCCCCCTTCTGCTTGGATGCACTTGAGGTGCTTGATGCTGCTTCAGGAGTCGACGAGTCCCACGACTGTTGCTCTTGAGTCTGCGCCGCCTGGGCTTGAGCGGCAGCAGAAGCGCTGCTGCTCTGGCTGCGTCTCCCCAGGATTTTGGAAGTGCCCCGGGAAACATTCGACATGATACTCCCGGTAATGGAAGATGTGTCGGAAAAGGTGCGTATGCTTTGCGTGTCCCATACGCTGGACTCGTCTGACAGGATGGACGACTGTGTAGATGAAATGATAGAGGCGCCATCGGAAGCTGAATTGCAATTAGTTGGACGTCGGGAAAGAAAACCAAAAGAAAAATGATAAACCCACGAGTGGTAGTAGTCTCCTGAATCAGGCGACTCAATTCGTCGGCACCGTATCTGGTGAGAAGGTGCTTGATCAATTGCCCGTCAAGGACCCTTTGCGTGGGCGACACGTTCGCGGACTGCTGGGAGCCGTCGGCCCCGGGCCAACCATTGGAGGCCATGGTCCCGGCTGTCGAGTTCTCTCGGTCTCGGGATGGTAAAAGTCGAATTCACTTCCAACAGAAATATCGGGCTGGTTGCAGGTCTTTGTACGGACGACTGAGCGATTTACTCAGCGTGATGCGGTATTTTGCGATGGGATGGAATTGCGAGAAATAAAGAAGAAAGGAAAGGAGTGTATCGCAGTCAGGATGGGGAAAAGTGCGGGAGGTGGAGGCAAGATTTCCAGGCGGCCGGGGCCTGGGATCTAGCGCTGTGCGCGACGCGGAAACGAGAAAAGAGTATGAAAGGATGGGCAAGTTCGATAAGGGGAGGGCGATGCTGCAGCTAAGTATCGGTGGCAGCGATGGAATGCCTCCGACCGACAAGGCCAGGCTGGCTTGGGTTTGGGGTCCAGAGCAGGGTTCACTCTATCAGAAGAGCCGTGGGACGTGGCTTGCGGTGCTCGACTGTTGGACCTGCATCCAACTTGACGTGATCCGACACGGGATCTTCGCTAGTGCGGGCGTGGCAAGAGGAACAGCAGTGAAGAAGCCTTGTAAGGAGTCAGGAGAAACGTCGATGTGATGAACGGCGTCTATGTGGAGAGCAGATATGCTTCTGTTATGTCTGTCCGTGTCCTGTCGAATAAGGTACTGGTGCACCAAGAGGCTGGTTTTGCTAGCCGTCTGGCGGGCGGTCTCTCGTGGCTCGTCGCGCGTTTGGGCCCGAGAAATCGGACGGGATGATGAAGGAAGCGGGAAGGCAGCGGCTGGATATATGTCGGCGTGGTGTTTATCAGGCGGTAGTGAGGCAAGAGGATCTCGGCAGTTGAACAGTTTTATTTCTCCTCTTCGATGCGAGGGTGGTGGTGCTCCTCGTCGTCGTCGTCGTCGTCTCCTCTTGACAGCCCCGTCGTCGCAAGTCGAGAAAAAGGTTGACAAGTGAGAGAAGGTGAAGGAAAGGATAATGTGTGAGGGGAGTCTCAGAGGAAAGAGAAAGAAGCTGAGGTGATTTGCAATTGAGGGGAATTCACACCTGGTCCCCTGGTAGGGTACTCTCCAGAAGTACACACCTACACTTGCACTCTTCAATCTCGCTGTCTCGGCCGGTCTGTTTAGTCTGTCCTCCCCTGACAGCCTGGCTTGCCTGGGTTCAGACGGTCTTGGATTGGGATGGGCTGCGCCAAAATGAGAGAGAACCAGTGCTCATCCCGGGAGAAGCAGCCACTGGACACTGTTCCCTCGTGGCTGTCTCTCTCTGTGTCTCTCTCCTTTGGTTTCTCAGGCTCGCTCTCAGACCAAAGACTATCCGCAGACCCGACCCCCGAACCCTTCAACTGAGATGGGTGCTGTGGGAAAATCAATACAGTCCGATGTCCGATGTGCCGAACATCGTTCCCATCGTGCTACGATGTAGAGATTGGGAGGAGAGCCGGGGGTCGCAACGGGGTCACATCCATGATCGAGTGGACTTTGAAGACTGGGAGAGGGTGGTAGCAAGTGCCAGCCCGAGGTAATCCCAGACGGGCAGCCCGGCGAGTTTCGACGTCTTGGTAGCATTGGCGTGCGATAACGAGACGAGTTTAGTGGGCGACGCCACCACTAGGCGTCCGAGGATGGCCCAGAGATAGAGGCAAAAGGAAACAGAAATAGGCACGCTGCCCTTTCGGGTTAAGGCACGACAGCTGCTGCCAGGCTTGGGACAGTCTGTGGCCGGCGAAGGGCCAAGGGTGGGAGCGAGAGATGTGATTGATTGTGGTGGTGGTAATGGTGGTGGTGGTGGTGGTGGTGGTCGATGCAGGAGAGCTGCGAGGGACCCCTGGAAGACGGGCACAGGCACCCCTCTCGGTCGGTTCGTTCCATCCGTGGAAAGACAGACGGCCGGCCGGTGGCATTGGGACCCGTCAGTTGCTGCTGTGGAAGGGATCTGATATCAATGGATGCCAAGATCAGTTCCGTGTCGATGACCCGGGGCCGTGTGTGCTGTGCCCTGCCCGTCCTGACCCCGGACGGATGATGCCTCGTGATACAGTTGGCAGCATCTGCCAGCCATGATGATAACAGGTGCAGGGCAGGCTCTGTGGCTCCGTCCGGGCCTCTTAACCGGGATCGACGAGATAGGCAGGCCTCATCTGTCAGCAGCGTTGAATCCAGAAGGAATGGGAACAGGAACGAGCTCCGTTCAGCGTCCCAATCAGCGAGGTGGTATTTCCCGTGGAGAGAAGGGGATGCCGGGAGATGCGGGACCCGTCAACAAGGACTCGTGGTCGACCGTCATCGCCGCAGGACCCTGGAGCCTGGACAAGAGCAGGCAGGGCTGGTTTGGACTGAGGGGGCAGAGGAGGACAGCCCGGCCAGCCATCCAGCCATCGAGTCCGCGCGTGATGTCTCTCTGGTGCGGCGAATGCCTAGTGGGCAAACACGTGAAGGTGGTGGAACAAGGACAGGAACAGGGCGGTCAGCCATTTGCGTGGAAGATCGGCAGCACAAATCGATGGGTGTTTTTTATGTGAAGCTGGCGAGGCATGGCCAATGCCGGGTTGGGCATCGCGTGGTGTTGGCTTCTTGCGTGATTTGGGGCGGATTGCGTCAGTTGGATCCGATTTGCACAGCCCAGACTGGCGGTAAATGCATGGGCGTCTCTTGCATCGTCGTCGTCGTCGTGTTTTCCTTTAGGACTGACGATGGCCAAAACGAAGTCGACGACAGAGGCAAGGGCTAGTTGCGATGGGCGGGTTTTTGGCTTCATGCGGTGTCACGGAAATGATTGAAGTGAAGCTTGATCAGTGGAGGGGATTATTGGGGAAAGCGTGGGGGGAACCTGGCAAGAGCGAGGCAGGGGGGCGCCTTCCTTCTTCTTGCTGGTAGTAGTGGTGGTGGTCGGTACCTCATCCCGACGACGCTGCAGCGCCGTTGGGGGTTGCCTTCCTCAGGTAAGGTGCCTGTAGTCCTGTACTGCGTGCTGACGGGAGTTGGGGGCTTAGGTTCACAGTGAGCACTCGTACACCTACCTTCCCTGCAGCGAGTTCAACTGCCCGGGCAGCTCTACAAGTACCTCTCAGTGACCAGAGCGAGCGACCTGCTTCAGGCTTGGCAGGTTCCCCCCGACTTGCAAGTTGCGTCGTTGCTTCAGGGAAAGTGCTCGAGTCCGGCGTCCAGCGACTTCCTTCCTTCGTGCCTTCCCAGAAGTAATCAACAACAAGACAAAACCACTTAAAAATCATCACGTGACCCGTCAAGTACGTACCTTTTATTTGGCAAGGCAGTCACCCACTCACCCAGGGCCCTGGTCGCTCCTCACCGAAAACCCGAAGGCACCTGCTTCTTCCCCGAACCTCATTAGCGACAATCGAAGCACTGCCACCTGCCACTGCCTCTCGTCTCTCGTCTATTCGATATCCGTCTGGTGCCCCCAAACTCAAATCGTGGTGCCCTCATCTCTGCTCCCACGATGCTCCCAGGAAACACTGCAATTGCGAAACGAATGCAGCCTTGGGTTGACATTGGCTGCCATTCCCCGGCCCAATTCCCGGCTACCACAAGAAACAGAAGTCAGTCTCCCGCCAAAAACTCTACTTTCTCCAACATCCAGATGCATCAATTCACCCGACTGGATCCAAGCCGCCGCAGCCCAGGTATCCAGAGGGATGGACCCTTGTTTTCTTTCCCACCTCCCGCGAACACCTGCTCCCACTTCCACCGCCCTCCCGGCCCCTGCTCACCTTCTGCGGTACTATCCAGCAAGTAAGGTTCGGATCTATTCCATTTCCCTGGAACACCTTCACTTACCTCAGGTTGACTATGGTGTGCACCTTACTTGCTGTTTAATACGCCGTACTGCATGGTAATACCACGCTGCACATGGCACGGATACACACCACCTCGTCTATCCATCAGACAAACACCACTTCGCAACCATCAGCACTGCGTTTCAAGCCTGCTGCAGCCTAATCAACTTGAGCACATCTCCTCGACATCACAGGACATGCCTCGAGAGAGCCGGAAGATTGCGCTGCTGCAGGGGGTGCTTCACCTCCCTGCACTTTTCTCTCTCATCCCAGCGACTTCGATATCTGCCCTCAGCAAATCACCTTCACCAACACAGGCACACACCACTTGCAGTCACCCAGACTACTGTCCATCTGTACTGCGTACGCCGTACACCGTCCACGGCTGCAGAGTGCAAGCCACTCAGACCCGAAACTCCGAATCGCCATTACTGGCCACTGAAGAATGCTTCCAGAAACCAGCAGTCAGCTTCCATCAGCTCCAATTTGGCCAGCCCTCCAATCTCCATCTCAATCACCACCAAGCCAGCTCATCACCACTTCCGCTTGCGACTAGCTCCTAATCCTACCCGTTTTCTCGAACCACGGGAAAGGGAAAAAGAAACGCGGCAATTGCCTTTCCTTCATTCCAGCCAGCCCATGACGCAACCTCCCACCAAAAACGTTTCCTTCTCCCACGCGTTGATATCGCGCCCACTCTCGTTCGCGTCCGCCGTCCTCTAACCCTCTCAACCTGCCGCCATCGTGTCTTACACTGAGCAATTACACATTCTTTTCCCGCCGGCACTGGAACCTGTCCGGGACTAGGGCCACTGCACGCGGGCCCACCATTGGCCGGCCGGGTGGACCCCCGTTCGATAGCACGGTGCCGTCTCTGATCCCACGACACATGTGAATGACAAAACCCCGATGTGCCGTCGAACTCTCACATAGTGCTCCCTCGAAACACCGGATACGACCACTGCAGCGTCTCCAGCTACAATGGCGGTCAATCTATCCATGAGAAGCAGATTTTTTACCTGACGGGTCTGGTTCTCGCTCATTCCGACATGCACTCATGTCCAGAAGCAAGAAACAATTTCTGGACTCGGCCCCCAATGGCAAACTCTGCCACATGCACTGCATTGCTCTGCTCTGCTCTGCGCCGCTGCTGCGCAACGCGGTGATTCGTGCAACCAATATGCAAGCGGCTGAACGCATCTTGACTTCAGCTGCAACGGTCCTGCTCGTCAGCTCTCACCCGCCGCGCTGCTCATTCGCGATGGCGGACGCGTGTTATCCTGTCAACCTGTCAGTTCTTCTCGTACGTCTGCAATGGTTGCGTCAGGCTTACGCCGCACTTACTCCAGTGCCAACCGCCCCTTCAGCTTGATCCGATGGAGACGATCTGTTACAAGTTGTATAGATCCGCTTGTCCAAATTCCCATCCATTTCTTTTGCTTTTCCGATATTCCCACTTCACCGGTAGCGCCGTTTGAAGCCGATGTCAGCTGGGCACAGCCACCGGGACGGTGCGAGAATGAAACATCCAGAGGCACATCTAAATCATTGGCATCGCTGGCATCGCTGCCTTTCGGACAAACTCCGTGAGCGCCGCGACTCGATGTTCGACTTCAAGCAAGTCTCGAGCTTCCAAGAGCCGCAAATCGAGACGGCGTATGCTTCTAAGCGACGGGGCGGGCTTTCGAGAAAGCTTATTCACTCTTGGGATGAGCTAGGCGCGTCTTATTGGGATCGGCAGATGAGTTGACGGGACGGGGCGGGGACTTCCAGTGAAGTCTCAACGCTAACCCTCACCAAACTCACTTCATCGGATGTCGACTATGACTCCCAATTCTTGCCAACCCGAGGCAGCACCCGGGAGACTCATCCGATGCATTTTCCATGGCAGCATCGTTGTCCACGTTTCCGTTGCCTTTTCCATGATGCACAATGGTTGATTTTTCGCTCTTTCCCGGGGCGGACAACAGTCCGAAGCTGTGGCGAAACTGGTCGTTTGAGTACCCGTATCGTGAACTCATAGAATTGTCGAGTTGTCCCGTTGCTTTCTTCCTTGGCCGGAGATGCCGTTGCCGCAAGTGGTGTCGACATCGGCTGATCCCCCGAGTTCTTGGGTTTGGAGCCCCTTTTCACCTGCAAGACACGACGCATGGGATCCAAAGAGATGATTCCGACGCGACGCTCCATCTAGGAGGGCATGCTAGTTTTAAACACTATACGGCGGTGCCGAGAGAGCCGTTTGCCTCTGGCATTGGGCAGCTGTCATCTTTCCAGCTCTGTCATGCTATCAAGGCCGATGGCATGTCAAGCTGTTGCCCTTCTTCTGATCCGTCCTCGTAGTGTTGCTGCTCTTTCGGACTACGAATAACGCTGGCCTGTGGCTTCTCTTCACTTGGATTCATGGCGGTGACGAGGAGCAAGTCACTCCTTACGCCCAATATCGGTGTTGAAGCCGTCGATGGCCGCCATCGATTCACCTTACCCAGCCTTTGGACAGACCATGGAGCGTGCGCATGTGAAGACATATGCCACAGGCCGAATATCAAGCAATATCGACGTGCCTGAACCACCATCTCGCACTCATTCACATCGAAACACCACTACTAATCCAAGGTACTGTTATGACACACGACAGGTGTGGTACGTCAATGCCAAGTTTCCCTCATCCTTCTCGTTCCTTTGCAGTGTACAGGACTGTGCACTTATCAGATGACACTCTTCCCGCATAATGACTTCATCATGGTGTCAATCTGATCTTGATCAACCGTTACGCCGGATATACGTTGTTTCCACCATGATCTCAGCCATTGTTACAAGAAACTGCGTCGAGAAATAGCCAAGCTGGTGCTATCCAGCCACGTAAACCTCCCAACCAGCACACTCGATCAATCTCCCAACGACACCCGCCTGAGAGCATGCCATTACCTCACCCAGCATCAGACGCTTAAGCGGAAAAAAGGATTTACGCATCCGTGCCCCAAGGAGAAGCCACATGCAAGGACCCCATCTTCACACCTCCAAATCGGCTAAATCCGTCTCAAGTTTGGGGGATCCGACACACAGCTCACCCACCCCGGCCCGAACCACCGAATGCTCAAGTAACCGGAAACTTGCCGACCACCGAGCCGGACAAGTGTGCGCATCATGCTGGGGGCAGGGAGAGGGAAGCAAAGCATGGACACAGCTGTCCCCGCATATTCAACCGGCGCGGCAGAATATCCGGCTTCATGTGTCCTCATCTTGTCAAACACCGCCGCCGTTGCGGCAAACGACGCCACATGCAGTCAATGCAAACGCAAAGCTAAAGCCAATGCTCCAGCTACCTCCCCACGCATCTCTGATGTGGGGAGCTTGGGGTGGCGTCTCAAGATTCCCTTCCTCCCATGAAGCAAATATACCCTCACGTCCGCCATGTCGTTCACGCTAAACCCAGACCTCGACCGTCCGAAAGACTCGCTAGACTACTCCGTCTCTCTCCTCGCCGGAATTCCCGCGGCCGCACAATGGCACCACGCCCCAGACGCCAGCCCCTTCGACGACGGCGCGGCGTTCCACCTCATCCGCGCCGCGGTGACGGAGCAGCACAACGACCCGCAACGCCTGCGGCGAACGGCCGGCGTCGTGGCGGCGCTGCTTCCTGCGGAGCGGTCGGCCGAGGCGCTGGCGTCGTTGTGGGGCCTGTTCATCTCGTTGGCGCAGCAGACGCCCTCGAGTAACATTGCCATGCTGGATTTGGTGGTGCTCCTTGACTGTCTGGCGCTGTCGCCGAAGACGGCGGCGACGGTGGTGGTGGTGAGTTAGGCCCGAAGCAAACTGTGGGGAGTGTGTAGCTCATGATTTGGCAGGACGGGGTTGAGCAGATTAGTCATTTGCACGGGTTGGATAGGTGTATTAGGGAGTGTATGGTGTGTAAGTCTCTCTCTCCCTCTCCGTCGCCTACACGCTTCAACACACACCTGACCACAACGAAAAAGCCCCATACGTCTCCGACGACGTCCCCTCGACCCTCACCCGCTGGATCAACCTCAACGCCTTCGCGGCGCTGCTCTGGTCCTACAACCTCGTCGACGGCCGCGACCACGCGGTGCAGCAGCTGCGCTCAGCCTTCGAGGACCGACGGTCGTCCGACGTGGGCGACCGCGCTGCGGCGGACGCTCGGGTGGTGGCCGCCGCGCAGTGGGCGGTGCACGCGTGCCAGCGGCTGTACCACCTCTCCGTGACGTCGTCAGGGGAAGAAGCCACAGGGACGAAAGCTAAGCTGTGGCGGCCCGGGGCGCGGTTCAAGGGGCGCGCGGGGTTTTCGTTCCAGCGGTGGGAGTTCTGGCAGGCGGCGTTCGAGGAGGTGCATGAATTTGGGAGCGGCGGGGTGGAGGCGAAGATCGAGGCTGGGGCGGCGAGCGGGATGATGGAGAAGGTTCTGTATGCTGGGTTTGAAGGGTGATGGTCATATGGAGGCATACTGTAGAGAACAATGAACTGGGTCCGCGAGCCTCGTCATGCGCCGGCTGATACAAAGTCATTGGTGTTGTCTATTCTGACGGAAAGGCCGGCATGTTGGGAGTTGTTTTCCGGAGTGTACTTGCACCCGAACTCGAAGCAAGGCTCGGGCCGTGAACCCGATAGGTCAGATGAGAGGCATGCGATATCGAATGGAGTATGATGAAGATGGCCAGCTTCTCGGCCGTACTACGATGCAACGAGTCACTAGTTCCATTTGTATGCGGTGTCACCCACGTGTCGGAGCCCAAAACCGAAAATCATTCTGTAAGTAGACTCGCTCGAAAAGACTCGCAGTGTGGATGCCGAGAGTGTTGCTCGAAACCCTTTTTACAGCCTTATGCGTGTTTTACAAGAAGATGAAGAGAACATTGTGTACATGAATTTAGCTCACCATTCTTTTTGTTCGACGGTTCTAGTATTGTTGATTTTATTGTTGCTATTGCTATCATATCCATGGATCGTCGTTGCTCTCATCGATGCGGCCTTGTGATAACTGCCCGCCCGGATAGCAAAGCTCTGAGTGAATCTCACGCGAAGCTATTTGGCTAACTTTGAAGCAGTATCATTCAGAGGTCGAACAAAAGCCGAAATTGATAAATACTCATGCAATAAGTCCACGTTAGTCTATGCAGGAACAAATTAAGTAACTTGCCAAGAAAAGTTCTTGCATCTTACACAACGGCTGCCGCAAATCTGCCCATGTCAGCTCGTCTGACTTCTACGAATGTTAACTCCCTAGATGTCGAAAATAAACTTGGCATATCGCCGTGTCCGTGTGGAAAGGATCGACGGTAGGAACGCGCCCGAACGAATGAGCAAGCTGCACGAGGCAATAACGTCTGCAAAACGTTGCCTCCTGTCGCAATTGCTCAACCATCACCTCGCATCTCCCAACACCGAGTGGCTGGCCTCCTTCAGCCCTGTTGTCAACTCCCATCGAATCAACGCAATGCTCGGGTGAGCGTCGAATAAGGTTGCAGTACCCGCTCCCCAACGCCAATGTTTCTTTGCTGACAGTTGCGGCTGACTTGCATGCTCGTATACAACACGCCGTGGAACAACGTGGGCCCAGGACCAACGGCCTTCGCGATGGGCAGCTCCTCTAGGCCCTTGGCATCATGCAGCCTGACCGTGGTGATGTCTTACCAAGGAAAACCGGAAAACCCCCCGCAATGGCTGGCGACAGGCACAAAAACGTGCCGTGACGCCCGCCCTGTCGGTCACGGCTTGGCTGTGCTTCGTTTTTATGAGTTCCCCCCTCTCAACACACCGCTCGTTTTGTGTTGATGAAGTTCCCTTGCCTCGTCGCTTTGGCCTAGCATGTCGCCCGACGACGCGATGGAGATGGGGGGCATTCATCGGCGCCACTCGTTGGAACGCCACGACTCCGACTTCTTTGCGTCGCTTTCCACGATTGGAGTCGACATTACGGACCTCAAACAGAAGCATGAATCCCGCGAGGAGCTTCTGCCGAGACATACCGAGTACACCTTCGCGGCGTCGAGCAGATACCCGCCCGCAGAAACAGACCACGGACCGAAATGGTGGGACAAGGGGTACTTGCTGCAAGATCTGTGGACTTCATCATGGAATATGTACTTCTTCCTGGTGGTCGGGTTGGGCTTCGCGATAGGCCACCACGCTTACTATAAATCTCTCGAGAACACGCTGGTCTACAATGACGAGCAGTTGACCACGCTGCGGTATGGCACTGCCTTGGCCTTCGCCGCGAAGGCGAGTATGGTTGCCGCGGTCTTGCTGGCATTCCGGGAGCAGATATGGGCGACGTTCAGCACCAAGTTCCTGAGGGTAACCACACTGAACGACATGTTCGCGGCCCCTGAAACACCGCTCTCGCTTCTCAACCTAGAGTTTCTCTGGAAAGCCAAGATAGCCGCTGCGCTGGCCATCTACTGCTGGTACGTCTTCAAACTCACTCCCATCCTCCGGCTTACTCAACTCTTTTCCAAGGATTTCCCCTCTCAGCGTCATCCTCACAACAAGTACGCTCATCGCGATGCCCAGCGTGGAGATCGAGAACACAACCTGCCCCGGCGTCCGCACCCTCAACTTCAGATTCGAGGACACCACCGACTGGCGCAACGGCGGCAAGATCAACGACCTCTACCAGCAGTCCCTATCCTACTGGAACCAGACGAGCGAGGACAAGAACGACCCGCACTTCTTCGACTACTACACGGCGCCCAGCGACAACGCCAAGGAGTTCATGCAGACCAGCACGTACCTCCAGCGCCCCATCATCGACCAGGAGAACACGTTCGAGGTCTGCGAGCGCGGCTGGAACTGCACCGTCGAGATCCGCTTCGTCGGCCCCGCGTACAACTGCAGCGAGATCCGCCGCGGCGTCAACGGCGAGCTCGGCGGGCCGGGGTTCCTGCAGCAGAGCTCGGGCAAGGCGATGATCCCCTTCGACGTGCGCAGGCTCGCGCCCACGGGCAACTTCACCTACATCGCGCAGACGCTGCACGGGGAGTACGGGTACCCGCAGCTGGACGCGGTCCGCAGCGGCGGGATGCCGGTCATGGAGCCGCCGTACCCGGAGCACCTGGGCGCGTTCCGGACGGAGCCAATCATCTGGATCGGGTACTCTGAGCTGAACGCAAGCTACAACTGCACTGAGTTCATGAACACGAGTGCGGAAGTGCGGAATCCGTGGGCATTCACCCCGGTCGTGATTGCATGTGAGCATTTCGAAGCGAATTACACCGCTGAGATCGCCTATAGCGACGGGATGCAGATACCCACGATCAAAAAGATGGAGATGATCGCGCCCGTGATCAACACGACGTACATCCCCGAGCTAAAAGTTCACGACGGAACGCTGGACGACACCGTCGCCGTCCCTCAGAGCAATTACGTCTATCCTAATGTGACAGCGGCGTATAGACGTACGGCGGGTTACCACTCGATGGGCCTGTACCTCCGGCAGCGGCTGAACGGGACGATCCAAGGAACCGGCCGCGTCCAGCAGTCCAAAGTCATATACACCAGCCTCACCGATCCGCGTTTTCACCTCGTCAGGCCGAACGTAACACAACTCATAGAAGCGTGGTACGGCAATCTCCTGATGTCCATGTTTGCGAGGCCGCGATTTCAGGCGGTGGTGTGGGCGGCGCAGACGGGCGAGCAGACGGGCACGCGGCGCACCGGCACCGGACCCGCGGAGGACTACTTGTACGACTGTACCCGGTCCCGGCCGGCTGTGCGGTATCACTACCGCACGCGCATCCTCGTCAGTGTTTACGGCATCTTGATATTTCTCGGGTTCCTAGGCATTACGGCCGGAACGATTGCGATTCGCAGGAACGGCGGGGTGTCCAGGGGCACTGGGTTCTCCAGCATCGTGGAAGCAACGCGGGGACCGACGCTGGACAGGATGGACTGGAGCGCGGGGAAGGAATATGGGCCTGTGAAGATTGGATACGGGTTGCTCAAGATACGGGATGGCGATTTCAAGAGACCTGATGGGGAGATTTTGGTGAATGATGTGAATGCGATGCCGTCACGTTCGAGGTTTGGATTTGGGTTTGAGGGGGATGTTGATCAGTTGAAGCCGGGATGATGACGCCTCTGATATTAGGAGAAGCACAGATGGTCTTCTTATGTGTACGATGGTCAAATATAAGTAGGTATGAAATATTAATGCATTAATTTTGTCGAAGTCAACTTTTGTGCAACGGCGTTGATGGGTCAAAAGTCTCTAGATTATCTTTCCAAATTTTAGGTGTCAAGTGTCTTAAAACATGCACCCTAACAACGGACAAAGAAGCAGCAATACAAAGAGAGGGTACCTGAAATCATGGTTGGGGAGCGGTGCTTCAGCATGCTGCATGCAGGTGAGCGCGGTATTGCGGTCCCGAATTTGGCCTCATTTAGTCACGAGGTTTAGGAACCTTCCTTCTCCGCTTCAGAACTGTCCGGACCCTAAAGACGTCCTAGCTTTTATTTCAGTATTCACTCAATTCAATGTGGCCATCGACTGATCGAAAGATTACAAATCTAAAGTCTTAGGCAATATCGAGGCATTTATTTCCAGCCAGGACCAGATCTCGCCATGTCTTCACCGCCAGCCATACCCTCGACCAAGGAGCCGACCCGTGAAAGCGAGTACCGATTCAAAGATTTAGGAACCCCCTGTGAATGGGCAGAATCATACCGTCCAGGAGATTTACACCCAGTTCACCTCGGCGATGTTTTCAATGACCGCTATCAAGTAATTCGAAAGCTCGGGAACGGGTCTTATGGTACGGTTTGGCTTGCGTGTGATCCATCGTAAGTGTCATCCTGAGATATCCGCACCGAGAAAGTGTGGTTAATGCCATAAACCTGCCAACTAACCTGGAGTCCAGTGATGAACGCTACGTTGCTCTCAAGATCGAGGCAGCTAATCGGCAAAAGTCGAATGAAGTGCTGTTCCAGACCCAGCTTGATGCAAGAATATCAGAGAACCCACGCTCAGACTGTATTGTACGTCTACTGAACTCATTCTATCACCAAGGGCCAAACGGCAATCATCTATGCATTGTGCTTGAGCCGATGGGCCCGAGCCTGTCTACAGTCCTCAATGCCCCATTCGAGATTTACGACCCTTTAAATCCCCCTGTTCGACGCTTTGCCAAAGGCAAGATTAAACGCATCTTGAGGCACGTGCTCTTGGGGCTTAGCTTTCTTCATGACAATGGCATAGTACACGGTGATCTTCACTCAGGCAATATTCTCTTCGCCTTGCAAGATCTATCATCGGTGGAGCGCGTCGCTCTGGAGCAAACCGCGGAAAACTCTAGAATCGATCAATTGCATCGTATCGACGGGAAACACGACCAATGGGCTCCTACATATTTAGCCGTCGCCGAACCCCTATCTCAGCACGTCCTCTCAGGGGAAGCCGAGGCAGTCAAGCTTTCAGATCTAGGAGGAGGCAAGTAAATCCAGTCATCCCATGCGTCGCTCTTGACTGATATGAATTGCCAGCTTTCCGCAGCGATGATCCCCCGCAGTCAGTCGCCGCTCCACTATGTCTCCGAGCGCCGGAGGTGATCTTGAATGAACCTATCGGACCTGGTATCGACACCTGGAGCTTTGGCTGTTTAGCCTATGAGCTTATCACGGGGACTGTGCTGTTTCGACTGCCCGAATTCGGGCTTAGCGATGAGGGATTGAAAGACGAGCATTTGATTCAACTAACCGATATCATTGGTCCTCTACCCGGGAATCTTCTGGCACAATGGTCTGATGCAGCGAAATACTACGGCCCCAAGGGGGAAAGACTCAACTCACGCCCACGGGACTTTGACGAGGATTCAACGGAGGACAAGTATTCTTGCCAGGATAGTCCAGGGGATGAATTTGATGATGGCACAGGCACACACGAGATCGAACTCGACGGGAGCGAGCATGACCTACCACATGTCCACGATTCTTTGGAGAGGCTCATCAAAGCGCACAAGAATTCTGATATAGATGAACAGGAAGAAGAGGCAATTGTGGGATTTCTTAGGTGCATCTTTCAGTACGACCCTGCACTTCGCCCCTCCGCGGCAAAGTTGCTTGGCCATCCTTGGATTAGTCCTTGATGCAAGAGTAATCAATGTACCGGGGAAATTTCCTGATGATCAGATTTACGAGAGCTCTGAAAACCGGGTGAATACTTATAGCTGGGCCGAGTCTTATCTAGATTAATCATCATTCAACTCTTTTCATCGTACCATCCTTACGTATTTGTTGTCCTTGTTGCCCCTGGCGTCGTTTCCACTCTTCTCGTCGTAATGCGTCCACATCCGCCCTGCCAGCGAAGCCTATTCATATAGGGGTAGATTGCAGTATCATACAGTAAATAGAATTCGAAGGTCTTTCAATACTGTTAATCCCAAATTTCTTAGATTACGGGGCGTCAGCCGAGGCTATGTTGTTATTGGGCCTGATCAACCGGACGACTCACTGACTCAGTTGTGTGCAGAAACGAAATACCCGCGTTTGCGTCGGGAACACTCAGCTGAAAAGCTTGGGCATCGTCCACCTCCAGGAGCTATGCAGACTGCCAAGGCGACACGACCTCGTTCGCACCCCACAGCGAATCCCAGAAGAACGCACCTTCTCAAATCGGCTCTGTGAATCAACTCCTTTGGCGGGGCAGTATCATCGCTTGCTTCCTCCGACCGGGCTTGTAATCCTTCAACATCCGCAACGGGCCGCCGATCATTACGAAGGATTCACGGGCATCGTCTCCGCGAGAATCGTTGGAAAAACCTCTTAGCGGAGGAATTTAGAGATGGAAAATCCTATTCTCGATATCTCAAGTATAAATCCAGGCAGTAGTCTCTCAGTATTGCGAGATTCAACGAACATCAAAACATATCGCGCCTCCCGTCCCCCTCTTTTGGTACTCTCAATAATAAGCAGCCATAAAGTCTTGCTCTAGCCAAAATGAAATTCACGGGCATTCTCATCGCTCTTCTCAGTGCTACCGCGCTGGCCAACCCCATCGTTGATGAGCGCAGCGAGGTACGTCAAGCGCTCCACTTTCCGGCACAATGCTCTCACGACCGTCCTTGTCTCTGTCATTGATTTGTCCTCAATTGGTACACATCTAACAACAATGGCACCATTAAGGGTATTAAGAAGCGCCAGTGCCGCTCTTCGGGAAGCTACTGTGCCACCAACTCTGTCTGCTGCTCTGGTGCATGCATTGGCGCTGCCGGCCGTAACGGCTACTGCTCTTAAGGCACATAGTGAAAGGGAGAAGTTTGAAGTGTCGAGAATCGGGTCTGATGGGGGATAAATACCGAGCCCTAGGCAAGGGGTTGTCGAAAGGCTCACCGCATCTTTCACTCACCTGAGTCACTGTCAACCGGGAGCAGCCGTTCTCATCATGGAAACCAGAGCCGGACAGCATGAAAGGTCTCACCTTGATGTCAACAAACACAAGTTTTCGGCCTAAGAAATGTCAGCTTACCACTTTACCTCGGCATTGAAGTGTTGAAATTGTTTTTTGACTCAAGCATGACCCAATGTCGTTGCGTCTGCCCTTTTGAGTGCAGACAGATCACGAAGACTTCTGACTACCTCGATGGCAAAGTATTTCGCGATCAGTTTAATGTGGACTCGAGCTTACCCTTAGGAGTAAACCTTGAGTGCTGTGTCCCATCCAAACAGCTGATTAGGGGTACGTTGAATCAGCCATGTTCACCACTCTGCAAGTCCAATAAGACATCTCCGAGAGACACATTGTGCGGAGAAATCTGGGTCACCAGGCACCTATGCCAGCTGGCAGACCGATGGATGGGAATCCCGAATAGGAGGTTACCTTGACCACCTGAAACGGCCTAGGACGAAAGACATCAATGCACCGTTCATCCTGTCATTGGTCCTGCCATCGACGTCCCAAGTCAACCTCGAACCACACTAAAATGACAAATGTGCCTTCTTGAATGGCCATACTGAAGGATCGTTTCGCAACCAACGCCCCGATCCGTCCAGGCACGCCGTATCACGTATATTGCACACCACAAAATCTGGAGCTCAGCTTGGCTATGTGTGATCGACGGTCGTCCGCGAAGAAACATGGCAGACCTCGCGAGAAACGGTTTCTGAACCGAGGCACTCCCGTTCTAGACATCAGCACTTACCCAGCTGTGTGGTAACATCCCGTCCCGTGGGCCGTTTGAGGGGGTCTCCCATCATGTAGACTCCGCACTTGGAGGCTTTTCCCCTCGAATGCTTTCCATCTCGCGAATCATAGAAGGAATTTGCCTCTTGACAGCCGAGGAATCTCGAGATGGCCGAGGAACGTGGACGTCTGGGCAGAACTTTTCGTCCAACATGCCTCTTTCAGTAAAGACTCGATGAAGTTGTAAACATCACGAACGTCTATAAGAACTCGTCGACGACTCGTCTGGAAAGTCCAATATGCCATCTCATCCTCATCAGCACCTCACCAGCTACATACAGTCTTTTCAATTCTCTCTTTCAATCTTTCCCTGTCCCGTCCGCGACGAGATACTTTCGTTACACAAACTCACCGGTTGAACACACATTCAAATCGCCAACTCTTTTCAACATGAAGTTCTTCAGCACCCTCGTTCTCGCCACCACTGTCCTGGCCCTCCCCACAGAGGACAAGCGGCAGCTGGGCACTGTTGGTAGCACTGCCAACGAGTTCAAGACCGGCGGATGCAAGGACATCATCTTCGTCTGGGCCCGCGGCTCCACCGAGATTGGCAACATGGTAAGTTCTCGCCAATTCGCCGCGACCTGGCTTCATATAGCTGACCTTGTGTTTCTCATTATAGGGCACTGTCGTTGGCCCCCCGGTGGCCAACCGCCTCAAGAGCGCGTTCAGCGGCCAAGTTGCCGTTCAGGGCGTCGACTACGCTGCCGCGCTCTCCACCAACTTCCTTCCCGGTGGTGCCGACCCCGATGGCATCAAGGAGATGGAGACCATCCTTGGAAACATCGCCACCAAGTGCCCCAACGCCATTGTTGTCACCGGAGGCTACTCGTAAGAACTACTACCCTCTCATCAAAACACACCAGATCTAACTCGAGTTGTGAAATAGTCAAGGAGCCGCTGTCAACCACCGCGCCATTGAAGGCCTTCCCGAGGCCCAGAAGAACCAGATCGCCGGCGTCGTCACCTTCGGCGACACCCAGTTCCGCGCCGACAACGGCCAGATCCCCAACTTCCCCAAGGACAAGATCAAGATCATCTGCGCCGCGAACCCCCGCGACACCGTTTGCGACGGCAATCTCAGCGCCGCCGTCCTGGCTCCTCACCTCTCGTACGGCGCCAACGCCGGGGAGGGCGCCGACTTCCTCATCTCCAAGATCAAGGCGGTCCAGGGGGCTTAAGCGCCTATCTGTCCATTCAAGGGGCGGGTGTCTTCGCCCGCTGTCTCTGAGTGATCTGATGTTTGGGTGGGCTCTGTGGAGGCTGTGCTTTTGCTTAGAGGGGGACAGGGTATGCTGGGGATCGGAATGGTGTGCTAGCTGGTGAAGGTGCTTGAACATATGGTGTTGAGAAAACTGTGGCGGGCTTTCTGCTTTTTTTGCGGTGCGGAGCTTCTGGAGGCTTCTGTCCCTTTTCTTTTCTTACGCCGCAGAAACGGGCGATGCTTGGCTCTTCGTTGAAACGTGTAGCTTTTCTTTTTTGCGAATTGGACTTTTTTCTGCCCGTCCATCCAACGTTCGTGTTCTAGGCCCGGTGACATGTTTTCGACCTTGAAAGGCTGTTCTTTCTGTTGCTCAAAAGGGCCAAGAAGTGTGAGACTAGCGCAAACTGGAATCAGACAATTCAGTCTTCAGGATTATTACCCTTGGAGCTGAGCACTCCATGTCAAACCGTCCAATCTCATCGGATGGTGTTGTCAACCTGGCTGATAGTTCCGTACTGATGAACTAGCAAGGATTTCGGGCCGTGCCAGTTGCGGAAGATTAGCATGGGTAACTATGTCTCAATGTGTGACATGGTTTGTTCCCCGTCTACATGATCCTTCGCAATCGCTTCTCAAGCTCAAATCATCGTACCATCTCGTCCGGTCCTGCTGTGGTCCTGGGTACCAGACACACAGCACGTGAGACCTTGTTGATGTAAAACGGCATGCCTAAGCTTGCGGGGTGCAGCTCGGAATGCCCCCATTTCGCAACACGGGCAGAATTTCAACGGGCCGCAAACCTCAAAAGATCGACATGACTGCATCCAGTGCGCTGGGTCGTCGTCGACGTCGGAGGATTTCTTTCTGGGCACCCTCGGAAGGTGGCGATGGGGGCCAAATAGAGGGGATAATTCATGTTTCTCACGTCGCAGTTGTATTGCGCTGTCTTGGATTGTCAGCCCCCAACTTTACCGCTTCGAGTAACTCCTGCGAAGAAGCCATGTCGTTGTTGCGAGCAGCCCCCGCCCGGGGTGCAGGCGACATCCATCCAACGGTGTGGAGACCCGCTTCTCCACCAAATTGGCTAGACTTGGCGATGGTACGAGATGCGATTGGCACGTAAACAGCGGTGCAGCCAGACCCCTGCTGAGTGGAGGACAACGGCGGTGCAGTTCGATCGAAAGTTGCCGAGGCTCAGAGAAGGATCCTTACATTTTTCGTTCAGGAGTCCCTGTTGTTGGTGGAAATGAATGAGTTATCAGTGGCTAAGTTTATGACAGAAGATGAGAAGTCGAGAGGGAGCCTGGTGAGAGATAGATTACTTTGAAACTTTCAGAGGCCAACTTGAGCCTGCCAGAGGGACTCTCGTTGTGTAGTCTGAGCTTTTGGGGCCGGAACTAGGGCTTGCGGATGTCGGCAACGGCACGGCTGATCCGGGCGGGAGTACCACAGTGGCGATCTTGCGTTTCAGCCCTAGATGGTCGTGTTAAGGTATTTCTGAGTTGAAGTCATTTCGTTAGTTTGTTTTCTTGTTGGCAGTTTTATGAGGACAGTGAACAAGCTGGAAGATCACTCAACTGAATGAAAGTTATGTCAAAAACTGTCCGTTGTTCATCCCGTGCGGGAGAAATCAGTGCGGAAAGCTTGGCATGGCACTTTGGCCCACACGTGGCACGCCTGGTGCACGAGGGCGATCAACTATAACCTAATTGCAGGAGTTAGGTATCCTCCAAAGGTCTGTCTACCTGGAGCACTGTAAGGTCTGTGATACCATGAAGTCTCGAGGAGATGTCTAGACTCTTCAAGTGCAAAATGCCGATCCCGGACTTTATGCTGAAAAGTACGAGGGGCTCAGTGCGCCTATCAGTGTCCTTGCACCAGGGGCTTTGTGATATCCGTAGATTGAGATGATCTCGCAGAGCGTAAATCGTATTTCTGCTGTCCCGTTGTCCAAAATAAATTCAACGCCAGCAAGTCTGCGGAGACCCCCTTTTCGTACTCATGAGCCGCCACTTCGGCTCTATTCGTCGTTTGCCGTCACTTATCATAGGCTTAAATACGCATCTCATGCTAGCAGATCGTTTAATTGATCTCTGGCTTTATGTGCACCGTTGTGATACTGCAGTTCCAATCGCTCCACTTCGCACATCGTTTAGGAAGGATTTACCGCGAAAAGGAATTTGGCTATATCTGCGTTGCTTGCTTCGGGAAAATAGACAGTTTCAAGCAGTTATATACGAATTCTTTCATTTCGGTCCATTCAGCCTTGGCGCCTTGCGCTCGTCTACTCGAGAAGTATCTCAAATCCGACCAACGGTTGTGACACTGGATATCTGAAAACCAAAGTCTCTCATGTTGGAATAACACTACACATGGCACTTATTTCTATATATAGAGAACCCTCGTCAATGTCTCTAAATCTTCAAGATCTCAGCCTCTAACAAGCGATGGAGCACCTCATCGCACCTTTGAGACCAGGTTTCAAACCCATTCTACCATCTGACTAGTTTCCAGGAAGGGATCTCTGGCACCTGGCCTCATCAATGGATAGAATAGGACCATGGGCTTTTGCAGCTTGATCAATCGTCAACCGGGATGTTTTAGCCCGTCATTACTGCTTCCACCCGTATCCGCCACCCATCATTCGGAGGCGCTGTGCAAGGTAAACAAACCTTTCTCATAAATCACACGAGACTGGGAATTTCAGTGGTACATCATCTTCTGTCTTCTTCAAACATTTCGATAAGTCACAAAAGAGAATGGCCAACGTCTTCAATTTGGCCGTGAAGACGGGTTCTCATAGCATACGTCTACCACTATTTATATCATGAGCTCAATGAACGGATTCCTTCCCATGCCCTTGCACAATCGATCAGTATTGAAGCCCAGCTTATTAAAAGTGTTTTGGAAGCAGCAGCAACAACCATGTCGCTTTGTCCCATGTGAGGTTGGAGTTCAGTAAATGTTTCATGGCACCATCTGACAGATATACCTGGCAAGATATTGACAGAAAAGGAGGCAACAGCCACTTAGCGTTGTCAACTACTCGGGTGTATTCATGTTTTCTTCAGAGATAGCTCACATACAAGGCTGGACGGCGAGTTCATTATTATTCCACCTCTAGTGTTAATCGCCAATCAGGTTCTTTCGGACCTCTGTCCCAATATATCAGCCGATGGCCCTAGCCGCAAAGACCACATCGAACAACCATATTGGTTCTGCTTCTTGTTTGCTCGTGCCTACCCTTTTTTGAATGCTTTATACAGTTCATAAATTGACGCATATCTCTGCGTCACGCTACGATTTGTAGCCACGAAAGGGCGGTCCGTCCCAGGCATGGTCACACACCTTCGCGAGTATACTTGATGAATGATGATGGATGCCTTATTGAAACTGATTTTTGGTCTACGTCTGATGCCCCAACCATGCGAGCCTTTTGATCGGCTCAGTGTTGATAGTCAGAAGGTAGCTAGACAACCAAGGCTATTCAATAAGTCACATTGCCTGGCCTGGCATGTTTCTTTGCCGTTGCTTCAAAGTCTTTTATGTCTTTCCTAGGAAATCCTGTGTCTATGGCGCGACCCAGAATCCCATGGTCTTCTATAAAAACAGCTTAGCTGTTCAACGCCAGAATTCTCCAGAAATCTGATACTTCATCTGACAATGCGTTTGGAATGGGGTTTCCAGAGCCATGAGAGATGTTGTCTACAAGGCGCAACCGCCACTTGCCGGCGAAAACACCATCTCGAATCGTCCACCTGCACTGGTAGTCTTCGCCCTCTCCACAGTATTCTGTAAATACGTGAAGGGCGGTAGGAGATCAATGGTGATACAGCACTTCCAATAATATTCTAGTACATATGCTGGGTTGTGGAGACTTACCAAGGCTGCAACTCATGTGCTGAGCTGCGAAGAAAGGCTTCAAACATTCACATTTGTCGAGATTCAAAGTCACCACGGCGCCACTCTCAATACATGACTTGGCTGGCAGTTCATCACAATGTTTGAACGGGGCTGAACGTAGTCAGACAACCAAAGTCCCCCATTGCGTAGTAGTTCGAGACAACACACTGCCCGTGACAAATTTTGTCCGTATCTCTTAGACTTAGGGGCCTATTTAGCTTGCACAATCTCCATGATTTTTCCAGATACGCGACAGAAAATGGACAGACGGGGCATGCTTATGATCGAAAATAGGAGAGAACTGAGGCATGCCGTTCGGCTAAACCCTACCGCAGCGCCCCCAAAGGAAGAAACCCTCAGCCAAGACAACCACTGTTAGTCATTGACTTTCAAGTATTCGATGGGGTATTGACAGGCTCCAGGCGGCGGTGCGATTGTATTTCCCGGTTCGGAGTTGCTGGGGTGTTCCTACACGCCTCACCTTGGGAGATGATCTCGAAACAGGCTGAGAAGACTGCCTACCAAGCAAAATGTGAAAGCAAAGACCCATTGTGTTTTGAATTGAGAGCCTGGTTTCCCGAGGGCCTTATAAGGGCTTCTCCTGTTGACCTCTTGGCTCTTGCGCCTCGCTGACCTTCACCTCTCTGTCCAGATTTCTGCAGCCACCAACGCCAGCCCCGCCATGTATATAAACAAACAACCTTCCCACAATTAGGGAGTCTCAAGAAGCACAAAGTGAATGCAATGTATCCTCGGGCTTACTGAGACCAACGTGGCATTTTCCGTTCACTTTTCCCACCTTGCCCACGGCACTCAAATGTATGAATCGCAAAGTTGGTGGACCGGATCTGGCTTCCCTTATCCTTCATCATCATTTACTTATTCCACATGGTAACTGCGCTTGTGTCAAAGCATGAGTCATGGGTCTGAGCTTTCATCTCACATGTTTGGTGGTTTCTTGCGAAGGGATGCAGTAAGGATCAGTCGCTGGCCAGCAAAAGCAATAGACGGGTGCTCGACATTCGTGCCAAATTCAAAACGAGAAGCCGCCCATTATTTTACTTCTATATGTGCTGAGATTCATGTTAGGCGCCTGTGCCATTTGAAAAATACCTGGATTGTAGACAGTTGGGTGAGCATCTACGTAATTTGCCGATCATATTAAGGCAGCAGCGGTGTCGTTCTCAAGGCAACAGACCGCTTTGCTTATCATCAATCGCTTTGAATAATTTTCCCTGACTAGATGGCTATATATATGCAGCTATATTACCCGATGAATCCTCCTCTTGAACTTGACCTCCAGGGGAGCTTGTTTACAAGACACCTTCCTTGAGCAAGTATGTGACAGCTCCACTGCCGGGCTTGCTCACAACTACAGCACCCTCCTTCTGCTCCTCAGTGAGGTCACGCTTAGAGTAGTACTCCTTCTCCCACGCCTCCTTAACGGCAGCCACTCTATCAGCAGGCACCATGTGGACGGTGCAACCTCCCCAGCCAGCACCAGTAAGTCTGCTTCCATACGATCCGTTCTCGACAGCGATTCGGCAGAGCTCGTCGATCTCAGGGGCACTGCACTCGTACAGGTCGCGGCACGAGACCTGCGTCTCGTTGAGAAGCTCGCCGAGGCGCTTGTTGTACGCTGTCGTGTCGGCGCTGTCGGTGGGGGCCTCTTTCTCGAGCACCTTCATGAACTGCAGCACGCGCAGGGCCTCCTCGAAGACGTGCAGGGCACGCTGGCGCAGCTTGAAACGCTCTGCGCGGACAGATAGCTTGGACATGAAAATCTGCTCGAGCTCCTCCACAGACACACCCAGGACCTTGGCGATCTCCTCACGTGTGTATCCCTCCTCACTGGTGAGCGTCTTGCGGGTGACGTCAATCAGCACGCGCAGCTGGGACTCGGCGGCCTCCTCTGTCGACGCACTCTCGGAGTGGGGCTGGTCGTGGTTGGCGAAGTAGGCGTCGTGGAATCCGTGGATAGAGATGCCAAGAGGGGAGGCGTCCTTGGGAAGCTTGGTGCCGGCGGGGTTGAGGGCTGCGTTGAGGAAGGCACCCGCCATGCTGCACTCGACGACGCGGAGGTTGTAGTGGATGGGCCCGGTGACCTGCTTGTTGGAGGTGACGAAGGACTGGGCGATGACAAAGGAGAGTTCCGGGTTGGTCTTGGGGAAGAAGACGTTGCGGGCGGTCAGAGATGGGGTGAAGGAGACGAAGAGGGCGGATCCGCGCTGGGAGAAGACGGAGGCCGACTGATCCATACTATAGAATTTCAGATCATGCGCTGAGGACCAGAGAAGGTGGACTTACCCGCCAGAGTTGACACCGACGGCGCGCTCGCTGACAATGGCGAGCTCGGTCAGCTCCGTCTTGTCAATCGTCTCTTCGCCGTTGGCGCGCATGACAGCCAAGGCCGAGACGCTGGTAAAAGCAGCGCTGGAGCTGAGACCACCACCAATGGGGACGGAACCATCCATCAGGACCTTCATGCCCTGCGGCCTGAAGCCAGGGCCGCGCTTGCGGCGCAGGAGCTCGAGAGCGCCGCGGAGACCGCTCCTGAAGTAGTTGGACCACTCGTGGACCTTGGCGTCGATGGTCACATCACCGTTGACGTCGACTTCGAAGGTGCGGGCGGGGAACTTGTCGCCTTGAAGGTTTGCGACTTGGAGCTTGAAGGTGGGCGAGTCGGAGGGAGTTTCGTCGACGGAGACGGCGAGGATGGCGTCGGCGGTGATGGCCATAGGCAGGACGGAGTAGAGGGAGTAGTCGATGTGCTCGCCGATGATGTTCACGCGACCCGGCGAGCGGGCGACGAAGGTGGCGGGGTGGCCGTATTGCACCTCGAACTGGTCAAGCAGCGCGTTCCAGCGCTTCGTCTGGACGGGGAGGGCATCTTCGGTGTAGACGTCGGCGAGGGACGACGCGGTGGGGACGGGGCCGGCCATGGTGGGCGATGTCTGCGCTCTCTTCTTGGGTATTGCGTGTTTCGGGGAAACGTCGATAGGTACTGCCTCACGAAGGGGATGCAAAAAGGCTCAATAAGGGGAAGGAGAAAAGAGGACAGAACAAGTGTGTATCGTGGGCGAAGTGTGGTTCAGTTATGACGTTTGGGGTTCGGTCCTTTTGGAGCTGCGATGCAGGTGGTGGGGTGGGACTCGTCCAGGTTCAGGTCGTCCGCCGTAATAACCCCGCGATGGAGCTTTGGTGTTTTTCTGGCGCGTGCCCGTGGTTGCTGCGGGTGTTGAGCTGCCTCTGCTCTGGACGTGTGGGACACTGGAGCGCTGGAGAATGGAGTGCTGGAGCTGGAGCTAAGGCAACTTACCCCGCAATTGCCCCTCGTTGGCGATTTCGTCTGAAGAAACAGCGAGGAGCTGTCTGAAGTGTCTCAGTTGGCTGGATCAATGCGCCAGGTCACAGAATGCAATTGAGTCTGGAGGAGAACCTCAAGGATTCTTCATGAGGATTGTTGATAGCGATCATGGAAAGCCCACAAAGGCGTCGCGCAACAAATTGATAAATTAGGTGAAGAATCAGGTCAAGCGCAAACAGATGCGGCACCTCGGGAGCGCATAACAACTAGCGCATCTCGTCACTCGGTGCATTTGGACCCCACCTCGGCCGATGATTCCACCGTATCGAAAGCCAACCGTTACCTGTTCTTCTCTCTTTCCCGTTCTTTCTCGCCCGTTGTTCAAGCGCCGTTGTTCGTGTCGCGTGGCTGAAGCAGACCACCATACCTATCACATCTCAAGGGACAACAAATGCGCTGACTTCGTCTGGGCAAACTCACTTGCTCGCCACCTCCCGGGCGCAACAGCAAGTACTAAGATGTTCCACTGCGGGCCGGTTCGGAAAACTGGCGGAAGACTGGCGGAAAACTGGCGGAGAACTCAGTGACCCCGGCCCTCAGCGTCGTCACCTCGGATTGAAGCCACAGAGGTGTCTATCGACTGCCTGTGAATCCAGTAAACCACGGGTCCGTCGAAAAGAATTTGCGATATTTAGATCTTTGCGCTAGCTACTGACCCAAGCCGACACATCACATGTTCTGGAACGCCGACAGAAGAAGAGCAGGGGAGTCGCCAAGGCGCACCAGTGGGGTGACTGCAAGCCATCACGTCTGGCGCGCTGGGTTCCAGGGTCTTCCCAACCTGCCGCGGGGATCTCGGGGGCGAGGGACATCCCACACCAAAAACCGCGGGGCAGCTGTCGCCACCTGGGCTGCGAGGAACCACACTCATGTTCAATAGACCATGCTCGTCTCTCGATATCACGGAGATATATCGATGAACGAAATGAATGGCCAGCATGGATTATAATGAATGCAGACTTCTGGTACTCAGTGATCAACACTGAACACTGTTTACGATCAGTGCCTCAGCCCCTTATGGATTCGACTTGCTCGTGGGAGACCCTCCTGCGTCTAACAAAAAGACATCCGTGACATAACTATCAAAAGCAGGCCAACGGAATGATCTTAGGAGAACCCAGGTTTATACTGAAGACATCCAGTGTGCTATCATAAATTCTAAACTCAAAGAGAAAAAGAAGAAAAAGAGAAAAGCAAAAAAAAAAAAAAAAAGAACCAACCACCCTTTCAATTCAAGGCCCTCACGTGTGATTCGAACGAGCGCCCCCCTCAGACTCAGATTGCATCTTTAGAGAGGAATTTTTTAAGCCGTGCTTTTACCAACTAGGTCACTTGCGCGATATCCTAGCCGAACTGTTGAAAGAAGACCAGACGAAAGTCAAATAAGTAGCTTCCACTGAGTTGGATGGTTGCCTGGAGCTTAAGGCGGAAGGGTTACCGCGGAAGGAGCACGCGGAATCCCTCCAGTGTTCACCGAGCTGAACGGGTTGTCTACAGGAGAAGAATCAGGAGCGGACATCTCAACAGATTATCAGGTTGGATGGTGTAGTCAATATTCCGTCTTCATGTTCACACCCGGCTAGGTCTTCCCAGGATGGTTATTTCAGCACCGTAAGAGGTTAGCATCTTCAGAAACCCATGTTCAACCACGATTCACTCGCGGCAGGCGTCGACACCTAGGTATGAGGGGATGACGAGTTTGGCATGATATCTTGTAGGTCGATCGGCATATGTTCAGCATTGAGGGAAGGTGCTACACTACGACTTCCTTCCCAAAGCTTTTCAATCTTGAGGTGCAGCTTTGAAGAAACCTCACCTTGCCCTTAGCCCTGCCCTCCAGCCTTTCGCCCTGAAATCTCCTGCCCTGTAACACAAATTTGTCCCCAAACCACAATTTCCTCTCCGGAAAACTTCGATCGTCCTGCTACTCGTCTCTTCTTCTTCTCTGCCACAATCCAATCTCATAGCCCATCCCAAGGCGTTCAATCCCACCTCAATCCCGACCCAATCGCACTTCCAGCATCCCACCTTTCCGGCACTTCATCTTTTCACTTCTTTTAAATCCTTTTCTTTACATACTTTCGTCATCTTCTTTTCGTCCAACCAGCAAAGATGGGACTCAGAAACAAAGTCCCCGCAGGCCCGTACACCCCCGAAACCCATCCCCAGATGCGCATGCCTTCCCTCCAAGTCGGCTCGCTCTACATCATGATCTCCGTCCCGCTCCCCGTCTACCTTGGCCGCCAGAAGCACAGCTACCCAACCGCAATTCCCTCTTCGCCTGGGTTCCCTCACAGCACATACGAGCTCGACGTCACGAGCGGCGCCTACCCTGAAGAATTCCACTGGGATCTCTATCTCCACACCTCCTCAACCCCGGACGGTGGCAGCGGCACAATCTACCGCCTGCGCAACACTGGCACCCGTCCGCCTACCTACGAGTACGACCGCATTCCGACCTTCCGAGTGCTTACGCATGCTCAGCTCGTCGGCCTTGTGCGCGTCGTCAGCGTGCCCCGAAGCGTCGTCTCGCACTTGACCCGCTACCTCGAGTGGATGACAGAGGACACCGCCAAGATCGCACAGCGCAGCTTCGTCTGGGCGACTATGGCCTACTACCGCACACGCCTTCACCTCGCCAAGGCGATGGGTATCCGAGACCACACGTTCAACCAGTTCGACATCTCGCGCTTCACGTCGGAGCTGCTTTCGTTCGCGTATGGAGAGGTGCCGGGGGTGCTTCTGGGTGCTGAGACTGGCCCCAGGCCGGTTATTGATTCGTGGATGGGAGCCGCTATTGACTTCTTGGAGGACGACGACGCTCTGGCTACGCGCCGGAAGAGGGACGAGCTTATGAGGTTGCAGAAGGAGAGATTTGGTGCTGTTTCGGCGTGTTGGTACCAGTGAAGTTCGGTTTGGATACGATGATGGATCTTCTCGGGCTGGATACCCGCTTGGAGTCAGACGATTGGAGAAACCTGGAGAGACTTTTGGTATGTTCAGGCTTCATCCTTACGAGCTCTGCCTAGGCTGTGGATGCACTTACTAACGACATGTGTGTAGGTATTGAGTATCCATATTGGATGAAGCGAGGAAGCCTCTTCGGGATCGAAAGACCGAAAGAGAGATGGGTGTCTGCAAAGCAGCATACGTGGAGGAGATGCTGTACTCTATGGGGGGTCGTCTGGTACTACTGCTCCCGACCTGGGCCACTTGGATACTGGTCATCGTGAAGGCTTCTGGGCAGGAAGTCTCGAGGGTCCGCGGCATCTGCGCAGCGGGACGGCGTTCTCTTTAATCATTAGCAAACAGCGCAATGCAAATAGCATCATGAACACTTGTTCGTTTTCGGTCTGCAAAGTGGTGCGGATCTTCCTAGCTTCCACAGCCTCGAAGAAAAACGCTGTCGGAAGGATCCCTGCATATCTCGAGGACAGTCGGATTGCTGTCTTTGTGTCGAATCCCTCCTCGAGACCAACGGCTCCGATCGGGGAGACGTTTCAAAGCCTTCTGATGGATGGAAAGGAGACAATGCAATTCCAGAGACAGCACAAGCTTTCGCGAGACCCATCGCCATAGCGGGTACGACTCCTCCAGACCCTCAGCGGAGGTCGAGGTCGATCCCCCCTCCACGGCCCGAACCGCCGCGGCAAACAGAAAGCAAACGCAGAATCCAGTCGAAGCAGCTTCGCAGAGCAAATGCTTTCTTTTTCCCCTGTCACTCGTTCTATTCGGCGGTGAACGGTAAATCATGCCCAGCTGTCTGCAAAGCGCACCTGATCCAACCTGCGCAAGAATGAGCAAGTTTTCCCAACACCCCTCACCAGCAGCCCACACACACGCCGTCGAGTAGAAAACCACGACCATCCGCCCCCCGGGACGCGCCCAGAAGCCCCCATGCGGCTATCCATCACGCAACGAGCAGATTTGAGTGCAATCGCCTTCGTTTTCATAACAACACCGTCCGGTTCCTACCACAAAAGATGACGCTGACACCGACACCGAGCGTCGTGGCGTCGACGGCCACGACCTATTGGTTTTTCCTTCCCCGACCGGTCTAATCAGCAAAAGGAACACTCAAGTATGCGGGTCACGATACCAACGAGGATACGGCCTCCGGTGCTGGTGATGCTCTTGTGCCTCGAGTCCGTGGTAGTCCTCGGCGCCCTGGCGCTCTTCGGGATCGCGTACCCCGACCGCTTCCGCTCGCGGCTGTGGCGGAACGGCGGCGAGGAGGGGTGGTGCTCAAACCCGCGGCTGCGGATATATTTCTACGCAAACTACGAGGAGCCGCCTGAAATACCCCTAATATGGAGTCAGCGGTTAGTTTTCTTTTCTTCCTAGCGATGTGTCGTTCCCACTCGGTAGTACACGATATAAGCTGACCCTCGCGGTTTCCCGCAGCCTCACAACCTCCAACGCCGCGACCGCCGTCCTCTCCCTCGCCGTACTCTTCGCCCGCATCACGATCGCCGCCCTCCGCTACGACGCCCGCTGGACGAACACCGCCTACGACGCCGTCCTTGCGGGCCTATGGGCATGGAGCGCCGCGGCGCAAGGCGGGGCGGACCTGACGGACCCGGAGCATCTCATGCCGCGGCCGTGGTATCTCATGCGCGGGTGCGAGGAGGCGTGGAGGGGGAACAGGGCGTGGTGTAGGATTGCGAAGTGGGAGTATGGGTGGGCGATAATGGCTGCGTACGTTTCTGTTTCGGCTCCGTGAAGTCGGGACTGAGAGTGCTGACCTGTGGTTAGGATATTCTACATGACGAAGATCGTCGGTACGGCGGGGTGGATGGTGTACGAAAAGGGTAGAAGGGATGCGTCTCGGGAGGGAGATCTGACGGAGATCTGGAGGGGGGAGGGGCGAAGGTCGTACAAAGACGATGCGGATTGCTCTTCCGGGTACGATCTGGTTGAGTTGACGTCGTACAGATCGTACCTAGATTTGCCGCGGACGACGGATGGCTGATGTCGCCATCTTCACCATCACGGCACACAAAATCACGACATGAACGAATGGGTGCGGCGCCAGGTATTATGGATATAAAGTTGATTGCAATCTCCACTTAGCAACTACCACGAGGAGTCGAAGAAGTTCCTGCCATCAAAGAAGAGCAACGTTGTCCGTAACCATGCAACACCCATCTTAAACGTCCATTCCCGATCCGCCAAACTGGAAACCCATGACGATCAGAGCATTAGAGTCTTGACGTCGTTTATTTGTGCTGAGCGAGACCGTGTTAGCAAACCACCATCCTTGCCAAGGTGGGATGATGCAATGAAAACTTACGGGGCAGCCGGCGCAGGTGCAGTCCTTGCCGCAGTGGCAGGTACCGGTGGAAGCGCATCCGCAGCCAGACATGTTGGTTGTGTGGTGAAGTCCTTGAAGGTGACTTGAAAGTTTGTGTGTTTACTTGATGTTGACCGGAGTCTTTGATTTGCTTGAGTGTGTGAGGTTGATGAATGGAAAAAGCAGTGGGGAGAGGTGGCCGTGTTCTGGGTGGTTTAAGTAATGCCACTGATTACCTAAGAGACGCCGACTTGCTCCTGCTTCTGTTGCTGCTGACCTTGCCATCTGAAAGAGAGGAAGGAGCCGGGCGCCCTCTGTTGCGCTCTTGCCCCTTCCCCTCCTGCTTGAGAGAGACGGCTCCTGCCAAACAAGCCCGCCACATGTTCTCCAAGGGAAGCGCTAGTCAGCCGCCCAGTGAGCAGCTGGGAATGCTAGCTCCCACGCCGTCGAGGGCTCGAAGGAAGGTCCTGCCTCCTGGGCTTGCCTTTGCCTGTGTCTCTCTTTCCCACACACGGCAAGTAAGTTAGCTGGTTAGGTAACAGCAGGTCGGTATCAGCAGTCGGGGACCCCCCGCTCCTGCCCGCTCCCGATCTTTCCCACCAAGCAGACGGTTCGGAAAGAACACTGTGAAAGAAAGAGAGTGGCGAATGACGTGCAGCCGCGACTTGGCTAGAGGGCCAGGATCCATCGTCACCCGCAGCACGCTGTGCCCATTCATCACAAGGTCAAACCCGACTTCTCCCCTTCAACATCAAACCGCCCCCCTCATACTCCCAACCACCGTGCCAGCGAACCACGCGAACCAACTGTCAAATGCCCCGGCGATTCGACATCCCCACTTTCCCACCGACGACGATACAGAGCTGATCGGGCCGGACTGCTCAGACCGGAGTGGGTTCTGGCGCTCTTCCTTTGCTGTTCCGCCCCCGCCCCTCCCCCTGCTAGCTGCCATTTTGGGAAAGACTCGGCGTCTCAACCAATGAGAGGGCGATAATGAATCTGAGTTCAGCCAGCGCAACGCCTTTCATTCTTTTGAAGAATTGCAAGTGCGGGGGAGGGGTCGGGTCGGGTGTGAGGCGGGAGGGGTTTGCTTCTGCTTTGCTTCTCTCTTTCACAGATACCCGCCAGCTCGCTCGACGGAAGATCAGGGGTCCTCCCTTGACCACGACGAACCTTGCGGCTGCGATATCCGATCGCCATTGGGCCATGTTCAGATAAACGTTTCAGCAATCGTCAAAATGACATACATATGGCAGTTGTGCCCCCATCGTAAAACTTGTCATCACGAGGGGAGGGGAGATACTCTGGCTAAGGCGGCACGAACGAAAAGAAAACAAATCACGGCCTCGAGTTCGGATCATCTCGCACGCTCTCGGGAAGACAGGCCCGATAGCGAAAGTTGGGCAGCGCGCCCTCGGACAGCTGGCCCGTGTCGCTCGTACGGTACGGTTGGTGGCTGCTACGACTCTGGTCATGTGCAACGTCTCTGGGATGAACGCCGGCCAGCCTCTTCAGCGCCCCGTACATGATCGGCGGCGGTCTAGATATGCAGTTCGAACCTGTCGAAGGAAAAAAGAGTACCGTTCACGGCGCCGTGCAGCATGCATGTGTGCGTCATCCGACAAGTGGCGCCGATCAAGACGCTCCGGCGGGGCCTCTCAGGGCTTAGAGCTGACTTTGCAGAACTGCTACCCGTGGCTACCACGTAGCATCTCTTTTGGCGTTGAGCGACGTTGTCCACGTGAGAACGACTTTTTACCGAGTGTTTTCCTATCTGGCGCACGGAGAGCAAGTCCACCCGGGTCACGAAGAGTCCGAGGTGCTCGCGATTGGGTGCTTTATTATCCTTATCAGCAGGCGTAGTTGAGGATCGCACTTGATCTGCCGGCGCCGGCTAGATTTAATCGCCTATGCTTGCCTTGTGATGCTACTTGGAGGAGGCGTGGTCACGTTCTCGTCGTAGGCTTTTGAGGCATTCCGGGAGTTTAGAAGCGGTGTGCGTGGTGTAGTCTACGATGTGGTCATTTGGATAACTTCACAGAGTCGGTCATTCGCGATCTACTGTCCTACGCACAATTAACAGTCGAAGGTTGACACTCGCAACCCCGAGGGCACCTTGATATGTATCTGGGGCTATCTCTCGAGACGATAGTGTCAGCAGAGACATTCATCTTGGAAATGTCCCTGCATTGATGTTGTTCGTCATCATTCCGAGGTCCTGCCTCCCCTGAGAGTTATCCGGGGCTACATGACTAGATTAACGGTAATTCAGAAACCTGTTTGAATTCATAGCGAGGATGCGATTTCCCGAGCTGTAATGAGGACTGAGTATGCCCACGACATCGAAAAGCCGAGGGGGGTTATGGTTGGAGCGACATAAGATCCACGGCGCTGGCTTGAGATACCTAAAAGATATAATGTGATTCGAAGCTCTTCTTGACGATTCGGACTGCTGCGCAGACACATAGCGGAACGAACCAGTCACTTGGGTGGAATGGAAAGGGGGGGAAAAACGTCACATCACGATGTTATCAGGGTCCTCGAAATGGTTGAAACCCACGCTGACGAGCCAAGAAGCCAAGAACCAACGTAAGAGCGATCGCATGGCGCGAATCAAGTCATAGTATCTACGGGTGGTGTTTCCAAGACGTCTAGGGAGTACACACGCTATTGTGAACACGCGGGTAGGTATGGTATACCCAATCTGCACAGAAGACATATCGCTATCCGGGAGGATACTTCTGACTGCCTGGAAACGGCTTAAACGACAAGAACAATGAGCAGCATACTTGGGATAAACACAAGGATGGTAGTAGACGTAAGCAGTACTTTGCCCGAATGGCTAGAAGTAACCCTCGTCTTATGTGGCTGTGAGCATACCGGCAGCATTGATCAATACAATAAGCCATCGTCGCGCCAGACCTGAACCATTGTTGAAATTCCTTCAGGCTTCATCGGCGAAATGCATGTTCACGGGAAGCTGGACCACGCTCCGAGGGCCCGTTGCCATCTCATCCCATCTGTGGGCATGCTGCTGCATCGGAGGTTCTGTCGTCCTCGGAAGGGACCGTCATCATAGAGTCTCTGGGACCGCAGCACAAATACTGTGACATATTCGGCGGCCGTATCTCGCATACTCGGTTGCAAACGTGGTCGTCTCCGCCTAAACAATGGATTGCAGCTTTCGCCAGGCCGCGGAAGCTCGAAGCATTTCATGTTACCATCAGTTTCTCTCTGCCCCTCTCCCGTATCTTTCAAGAACATGACCGGATTCTCTATCTACATGCGAGGCCCCCTTTTGTGCCCCTGAAGCCGGACAGTCTAGTAGCCACCTATTGCTCACCAAACACAACCTCCTGTGTCTAGACATGAAGGGCTGCGCTCACCGTTTTATAAAAGCCACATGGCCCGTGGAAATGGCACTGAAGCTGCTTTAATTCCCGCAAAGCCTGAAAAGCCATATATAAGACGCCTAATGGCAAAAGCCGCAGACAGACCAGCCTGCAAAACGCGTCAAATTGGCTGGTCGGCTGGTGGAGATGGCCTCATGTGGTTTAGCCGTATCGATAGTCGGGTTCGTATTACGACGCAGTGTTACGCGGCCCGACGTCCACTCATATCATCTGCGTGCCGGTGAGGGAAATGACCCGATTGAGGCTCTGGGGCGGCAGGTAACACAATGAAATCTGGACTAAACCAACTGCACCTCCATTGCTGGCCGACTTGTGTCCGTCAACGTTAGGAGTGGAGTCAACTCACCTCACCACTCAACTCCCACGCACAGAGAGAATACGACGGTATGCCAGTTGTTGCCGACTAGACAAGTAATGAGAGCCACCGAAGTCGCGGCACGTTCACTGGCGGCATTTGATGTTTGACACAATGTTGAAATAGTGTTTTGTTTTAAAACAAATTGGTATATGATTTCAAAATAACAGGACCCTTTTTCCCGTCCCATATTATACAAAAGTCAGGTAGTTTTCGTCGTTGACACAGGTAACCCATAGAACCCATAAAAATTGTAGAATCTAATACACACACAACTCTCGATCCCATCTCATCTCCTCTAAAACAGACCAGCAAGCGCAACAAGGATACCGCCAAACAGGGCGCTGCCAGCGACGGCCTGGACGTTGGCCGCGCCGGTGGCGCTCGCGCTCGCCGCAGCGCCGGACTGCGTCGCCGTGGGCGCGACGGTGGGCTGCATCGTCGTTCCTCCTGTGGTGGTTCCATTCTTCAGCGGGCCGGACGAAGCGGAGGCGGCGGGGAGTCCAGAGGAGGCCGTCACGGAGACGGAGCCGGAGGCAGAGGAGGGAGAAGAAGAAGAGTTGTTACCTGAGGAGGTGTCGTTCTGGCCCGAGTTGGTGCTGTCGCCGGCGGCGGAGGCGGCGCCGAGGACGATGCTGTCGTAGCTGCCGCTCTTGTCGCCGTAGGTGTAGCTGCCGGCGGGGTTGGCGTTGGTGATGGAGACGGACTGGACGGTCATGGTGAAGGGGGCCTTGGTGTAGTCGGTCTCGCCGCCGGCCCAGGTGATGGTGCCGGCGCTGTTGTCCGGGTCGCCGCCGGCCCAGATGCCGAGCCTCAAACGGGCGGGGGTCTGGGGGAAGTTCTGGCCGCCGAGGGCGTCGGCGTAGTTGAGGGTGCGGACGAGGGCGCCGTCGATGTACCACTTGACGGCCTCCTTGGTCCAGTCGATGGTGTAGTTGGTGGAGGTGCCTTGGGAGTCGGCGACGGTGTGGAAGGCGCCGCGGTCGTAGGAGGTGGTGTTGCCCTTGCCGAAGTAGTTCGTCTGGACCTCGGTGTTCTTGCCGCCGAGCCACTCCCAGTCGACCTCGTCGAGGTCGTCGGACTCGATGACGACGGAGGAGACGATGCCGGTGCCGGGGGCGGCCTTCATGAGGACCTCGGCGCGGCCGAAGAAGAAGTACCACGAGGTCTCGATGGTGGGGGCGTCGCCCTTCTTGTTGAGGGTGAACTCGGCGCCATCGGAGCCGTAGGTGATGTTGCCGGCGGCGGTGGTCCAGGCGGCGGTGTCGGCGCCCTTGGTGAAGTCGACCGTGTAGGTGGACTTGTCGAGGCCGGCGTTGGCGGGGCACGTCTCTGCGGGAGGGTGTTAGTCTGAGCGTACATGCGAGGACGGGAAGTTTATCGTGAAGTGGACATTGCGGTTCTTCACTTCCTGCACTTGGATGATGGGATCTCGGGAGGGTAAAACTTACTCTTGGTAGGGTCGCAGTCGGTGAACGTCTGAGCGAAGGCGGAAGAAGCCAGCAGGGCCACGAGGGACGCCTGGCGAACGAAGGACATGGCCATCTTTGCGATGTGTTGCTGTCGTATGGTACGTGTATGTGCGTGTGTTTGTGTTGTCGTATCTAATCTCTAATCTCAACCGGCGAGGAACAACCCTCTAATCATCAATCAAAAACGGGCGAGAGAAGATATGGGGGTGGGTATGAACGAACGTTTGAGGAAAATAGATTTCAAGGAAGGGAAAGAGGAAAGAGAAGTATGTGGTAGAAGCAGAAGAAACGAGAGACTATGGCTTCAGTTCAGGAGTGAGTGGTATTACCATGGATTGGAAAGAATCAAAACAATACCCGCCCCCTTATTTCACGGGTGAAGCGGGTCATGGTCTCCATTAAAGAAGGGCAGACAGAAACTCGTGAGCAGGCACAGCACAGCTGAAGGCGAGGCAAGCAGGCGCACGTCTCCGTACTTGCCTGTCTGTACCGCAGTAGTGTGTGGTGGAGGGTGTAAAAAAAGCGACACTCGTCTTCTCATGGGATTAACCCAGGCTTGTTTGAGCATGTACCAGGGGCTGGCGGGGTGGATAGGCCAGGGGTGTTGCCGCAGTCGCCAACCAACCAGGCGATTTCAAGGAGGCTGACGTACGTTTGAGAAAGACCCGGCACGACCACGGCACCCGACTGCCATTCGCGCCTCCCGAAGGCATTGGGTGGAGCGCCTGCCATGGTGAGAAGCAGGAGCCAGGAGCAGGGCCAGGCGGTTGCTAGCTGAAGGATCATGGATGAGCGACTGACTGCACCCTGGGTTATTACAGGGGACGCGTAGCCCGGGGTGGCTGTACATTTGCGCCCACCATCCGATGTGCCGGGAGGCCGTCCACCAGTCTCATTACTTCGTACGGATAGTCAAGACCCTCAATGGAAGACTTGCCTAGCTGCCGTTTGGCCGCGCTTGTCTCGTGTTTTTCTCTCCTCTGCCACCCAACCACTGGACTGGCACCAAACCGCAGAGAGTTGGGCCTGTTTGCTATACTTAGGCAAAAGACATGTTTTCATCCAATAGAGGAGCCTTCATGTGAGCAGTGTCTTAGAGTGTTGGTGTGCAGCGCCCAGAAGAGAGAAGCACCCAATCAGACGTGTAGCACGGTGGTGTCGTCCGATGGGGCTAGAGGATGGTGAGACGGACTGGCCAACCGTTGGACGCACCTTCTCAAACTCGAGTGGCTGGAGCACTGCCAATTAGGGTGGCTTGGACCCTCCATCCCCCAGGAGGGCTGGGATGGCTGACTGATGAGCAGTCTGAACCAAAACCTATGCATCCAGCTGTCGCTGTCAACACTGGGCAGCGTTGCTTCATGACAACCACCCATGATCCCAGCTTTGGTGCTGTAGCATAATGCTCAGTACGCCGTAGAAACCTCGAGACAGCAGAGAAGAGAGGCGCCGCGGAAAAAAGAGGCCAACGGAGGGAGGCTTCACCACCTCCAGGCTGTGCAGTTCAGACGAAACATGCTTTAAGCTCACCATTGTTCCCACCCCAAACGCTTCTTCGCTGCCACTCTTTCCCCCTTCTTTTTACATCATCGACCAAGCAAAAAAGCTGCAACACAGCCATCCATCGCAACCGTGCCAGGTTTCGCCAACTCTAAAACCACCGGGGGGACCTCCCTTCCCTCCATCCCTCCGCCTCCATTCACAAGCGATGTTTCCACAGCTGCGGGAGTGAACACGAACCGAACCCAAGAACCAAGAAACCCACGAAAGGCGATGTATCATGTTTCCACTGTCCGGGCGGTAGATTCCTGGACCTGCATTGCGAAAGGGAAAGGAACGCGATCCGCCAAGTAGGTGACATCTGCAGCGTCACCTCAGATCGGATCCCGAGCGCCCATCCCGCCCGTGCCTATCCCCCCGTGCCCCCCGTCCGCCCGCCGCGATCCCTCAGTGTGTCCCCCTTTTTTTTTTAATCCTCCTAAGGCGGCCTCTACCGTACCATCCCGCCGGCCGCCCGCGGGCATTTCCTTAGCGCTGCGCGGCCTCGGCAGCAGATCTCTGGGCCCTGGGGGAACCAGCCAACCCAACCCAACCCAACCCCAGCCAACCGCCGCCCAGCTCTTGGCGGACGTGCCTGCCAGGGGGCTCAGGGCTGGGAAAACCAGATGACGACGTTAATTCGCCGCTGCCTCGCGACCTCCAAAAGCCAAATCGCGGGTGATGGACAGATTTACACCCCGAACAAACTTGTTGATCACGTTGTTTAAATTCCTGTTCCTTGCATCCGCCACTGGACGAGTGCGGTTTGTGCATGTGCTAATCAAAAAAAAAAAAGTTGGACAAAAATCGGGGACGGGACCGCAAGGACCGTTATTTCGATCTTCAATCCATCGCGGACGTCCTCCATTTTCATCTCCACAACTTTTTTTGCAGGACTAATCAATACGTGTATTCCGCACGGCCGCGACGACGGACGACGCGGTTCTAGATCCCTTTTTAGGGAGGACTGGCCGAGCCGCAAACAGGATTGAATGGAACTGGCCCGACGGCTTGTATTTTTCCCCCAGCGTTCGGGATTTCCAAGATTAGGTCAGGACAAGTGTAGGCCCTTGGCAGCCGTTGAGGTTTTCCAACGGCTTGTTTCTCTTTGGATAATTATGCTGTGGCAGCGAGGTCTCCGACATCAAATCGCCCAAGATCCGCTTTGATGCTGTTCGATCCCCTACAGCAATCTTGTCTCGGAGATTTCGCCATATGCCATCCGCAAGTTGCATCCCATCGATCCCATCGACCGAGCTTTGACTCACACTTGTCCGATGAACAAGATTGCCTCATTTGACACGCCCAACGCTGTTGCGGACAGGCAATGTCGTTATCAACGGCCAGAAAATCTGCAACTGGCACTGCGTTCAAAGGCTCCTCACAGAGTCTTAATTATATTTTCTGAAACTTCTCAACGCACCCGCCATGCCCCAAGTCTACTCACACAACAGAGAAACAAGAAAAAAAGGTATTCCACCCGAGAATCCTCCGCCAACGCCGTGATATGCAACTGTGTGTATGTCCCTCTGCATGACACTACTGTTCTGTCTGTTCGCCGCCGTCTTCACCCCCAGGCTCAGGAAGACGCGTTGCCCCTACGCCGGTCCACGTTCCTCACCTTGCGGAGGGGCTTGTTCTGCGCCATACGGTACTTGGTATATAACCGGAACGCGTCGCGGAGCACGATGTACATGCACCCGCCCACCAGATTGCGGCCCCACTGGTCCTGGAGCAGGCCCGTCCGCACCCGGAACCGACCGAAACCGTTCGGCGGAGCGGTGAGGTGCTTCGGCAGCGCGAGGCGCAGGAGCTCGCCGACGCCGGCAGAGATCATCGGAAGCAGCAGCGTGCTCGCGAGCGCGTTGGTGACGTCGCGCAGGCTCGTCTGAAGGGGACGCTGACGGGCCGCGGGCGCCGCTTGCGCAGGCGCTGCGGGCTGGTTGTTCTCCTGCGGCTGTCCCTCCACGCCATCAGCAGCCGCTGCGGCGGCATTCACCGCGTTCGCCCTCTCCTCCTCCGCTGCCGCATCTTCCATCTCCTCCACAATGATCTCCAGATGGGCCATGCCGTCTCCGTCCTCCATCTCTGCTTCCTCCACTTCCACGTCGACGGCAACATCAGGGATGTCCAGCATGTCTATCGCCGCGTCGAGCAAACCCCCGACGATGCCAATGTTCCGCTGCCCGTCCGCGCCCTGCTCCCTCGCGCGGCGCTGCTGTCTGCGCTCTTGTCGGTTGGCCTGCTGCGGCGGCGGCTCCGGCAGGCCGGCCAGTCTGCGCTCCCACCGCCGCTCATACTGGCACATGAACTCGTGGTAAATGTTATTGTACGCTGCCCTGATGTACGGAAACGTCGCGGCGGCTAGTTGGGGGGACGGCGGCCACGAGAAGAAGTTGTCGTCGCGCGCCATGTGGAAGACGCCATACTGCGGGAGACATCCGTCAGCTAGCCATCAAGATATAAACGTAGGCATAGAGGTTCTTACTAGCGCCGCTGCGGGCATCATGAAGACGTTGCCCAGCACGGGGAACGACTGTCCGATTATCAGCGCCGGCGCAATAGTCGGCAGCGCGGCGACGTGGATCCAGTTGACCGTCGGCACGCCCCGCGGGTTCCTCTCGTTGAAGAAGAATCTGTACGTGGCCTCGGGCCCGGCGAAAACGCGCACAGCGATGTTACCGTACATGGCGAGGCCGACCCATGTCCCCGCGCCGATGCCCCCGAGGATCAGGCCCGGCGAGATCTTGCTGAAGGTCTTGTAGATCTGGTTGCTCAGCGCCAGGGCCGGGTCCCACGGCTCGTCGATGTTGATGAGGGCCTTGCAGACGGGACACCGGATCTCCTTGTTTTCGCGCTCGAGGTCCGTCACCCATTCGATCATGCAGTCCTGGTGGCCCTCGAGGGTGCAGGGACACGGGTGCACCCAGGCGGACTGCGAGGCGCCGGCCTCGTTCTCGTCGCTGAGGCATATGAAGCAGCGGCGCAGACCGTCCTGCGGCGGCTGGGGCCGGGGAGCGCCGTCGGCCATGGTTCGCGGAGGTGGTGGGTTTGCGGACGTCCCTCGGCTCGTCGGGATCGGGGTTTGAGAAGGCGTCGTGTGCGCGCGAGCCTGGGAGTGGACGGCTTGCGGGTGTCGCTGGGTGATTAAGGTGTTCGTCGATTGAGTATTCTAGCGCATGTTATGTTTGATATGAGATTAGCACGAATAGTCTTCGGATCGCGAATCAGCCGCAGCGAGCGGTGGTGGTGGTGTTGAAATGTTGCTTGGTTTGGGCCAGCCTGATTGCTTGCTGAGAGCTCGAGCCAGTGTGACATCAGCTTGGCGGGATGGGACGTGGAGGTTCGCAGTCAACGACCGAGGTGGAAGGTGGGGTGCGATCAATTTCGTGTGGCTTGTATCGGTGTAGGTGGTAAATTGTGGCCATGCTAGGTACCTTAGGTAGGTGACTGCCACCCAAGGTGCCGTAGGTAGCTGTACAGTACGGGGCGGCACCTACCTCGGCCACACAGAATGGAAAACTGTCCATCCATGCTCGGTGCCGGAACGGAACGGATTAATTAATAGTCAGAGATCTCCACTCAGCCGCCAAGAAGCGCACCCACCTACACTACGGCCGGGCGAGTATTGAGGCTGCTGCACGTTGATGTATCCTGTTCAGACCCAATTGGAACAGCTTGTATATCCCGCTCATCATGGCACACTACGGTCTCATTGGGCAACGCCGCGGTTCTAAAGCTTCACAATGTCGGTCGAGGGTACAAATAAAGCAATAGGATATAACGGTGCTCGCTCAACTTCTATATTCTGGATCCGCTCTCCTTCCAGTCTTATTATTTCGTGAGTGAGTTCTACAGAATTGCGCCGGGTTCAGGAAGATACAATTCTTGCGACTTTGGCACGAAAGAAAACCAGGAAAAAAAATGACCAAGCTCTCTATTGAAGCTATTATTGCTATTGTCGGCGTTCTCATCGCTTTGCCCCCGATCATCATTGCATACCTCCAGTGGCACAATCGCGGCCGACGGCATGTACGCTTTCGAGAGCTTCCTAGTAGGTTTATGATATTACTAATTCCTGCCTGACTCGAAAGAGATCATCGCTGACCCTCTGTACTCCAGCCCATTCCACTGAGGTCCTGATGCCTCGGTTCCACGACGAATTTCACCAGCTCGATGTTCTTATAATACGGGGGCGTTGGCGCTCGACCGACAGGTTCGACGAGAATGACTCGCCAATCCAGGCGTCCTCTTTACGATGATGAGTCTTGGGCTTCTTGCGGCGCTTAATTGTATACAAAACCCCGACGCCTACGCTGTCCACGGGCCTGCTTCATTACACAAATGAGAAACATGATGATGCGAGGTGGATGTTCCTATCGATGATAGAGCACGACGCATCGCGCGTGACCGGCACCAGGGGCATCGGTGGCTTACGTAACAAGAGTTCCAGCCACAGCTCAGTCTGAGCTGCAAGCTGATTTCCATCTATGGCAATTTGCTTTGATGGCCAAGAAGCAGAATGACATCGACTTGGGATATTTAAAACTTAATTCACCTCAGTCCCTGTATTACGTGCCTACGATACCAGGATAGATATTAAACACTGAACAAAGTTGGAATGTAGCCCCGAACCACAACGCTTGTAATGTTTGCGCTGCTTCACTGCAGATGGCAACGGAACAGCAAATATTGATGTCTGTACATGACTGCCTTGCAACACAAAAGCATGAGAAAGCTTGTTAAATCATAGTATTTCCACCAGAAGAGGCTTCAGATCATTCATCAGCAGTTCTGCTGCTATCTCACAATCGCAAAGTCCCATGCCCAACCGTCATACCGAATCAGCGGGGTAACCCAACCGCCCTTCACTCCAGCCCAGGTTTCCCCCCAAAAACCCCACACCACCCAACTCGCACTGGCACCAACTGGAACCTTCCAGCCATACAGCGCCGTCACAAGCCCAAAGCCAACCCAAGCGGTACCACGCAGTCCACACTGGTGCAGCCGCAGGCCAGAACAGCCCCTCACCGAAGAGCCTCCTCGCGAAAAACCACAGTCCCCTTTCTCTTTACTCCTCGACACCGTCACCATCTGCCCTCCTCCTCTTTGATACCCCCTTCGACAGACCTCTCTTTCTTTTTCGGTATATCTAAAAGGTCCATCAAGATGGTAAGTAACACTCCGCCCGTTTCCTTCGCAACCACTGCAAAAGAAAACAACCCAGCTAACCCCTCCTCCCCCCTCCACAGGCCTCAACCACAAAGCAGCGCCTCGCTGTCGCGATCTGCGAATTCCTCTCCTCCTCCGTATCCGACGGCACCCTCCCCGCCGACGACAAGGACTCCGTCGACGTCGCCATCCAATGCATCGCAGACTCCTTCAAGGTCGACCCCTCCGACCCCAAGCAGCTCGCCGACGCCGTCGGCACCCAGAATCTCTTCCAGATCTACGCCGTCTATGAGTCCCTCAAGAAGGCCAAGGAGCAGAACGCCCCCGCCGCGGCCGAGGGCGCCGCCGCTGGAGCTGCCGCCGCCGCAGCAGCCGCAGGCGGCACCACCCCCAAGGTCCCCACCGACGCCGAGAAGAAGGACGCCGAGGCCCTCAAGTCCAAAGGCAACGCCGCCATGGCCACGAAAGACTACCCCGCCGCCATCTCCCTCTACACCCAGGCCCTCGCCCTGCACCCGACCAACGCCGTCTTCCTCTCCAACCGCGCCGCCGCCCACTCCGCCGCCAAGGACCACACCTCCGCCAAGTCCGACGCCGAGGCCGCCGTCGCCATCGACCCCACCTACACCAAGGCCTGGTCCCGCCTCGGCCTCGCCCGCTTCGCCCTCGGCGACGCGAAGGGCGCCATGGAGGCCTACGGCAAGGGCATCGAGTACGAGGGCTCCGGCGGCTCCGAGGCGATGAAGAAGGGCTTCGAGACTGCCAAGCGCCGCGTCGAGGAGATGGAGCAGGAGGAGGTCGACCTGCCCCGCTCATCCCCCGGCGCCGGCGGAGCTGGCTCCGGAGGCATGCCCGACCTGAGCAGTCTCGCGAGCATGCTCGGCGGAGGTGGTGGTGCCGGCGGCGGTGGCATGCCCGACTTCAGCCAGATCATGAACAACCCCATGTTCGCCAGCATGGCGCAGAACCTGATGAGCAACCCGGAGTTGATGGGCAACCTGATGGGCAACCCGCGTCTTAGAGAGATGGCGGACCGCTTCGGTGGCGGTGGAGGCATGCCTGACCTCAACAGCCTCATGTCCGACCCGAGCATTGCTGAGATGTGAGTTTTCTTACCTGGACGAGCTTGTGGCCGTATACTAACAGAGACAGGGCCCGTAACATGATGGGAGGCGGCGGCGGTGCGGGTGCGGGTGCAGGTGCTGGCGCTGGTGCCGGTGCCGGTGCCGGTGGTGCTGGTGCTGGCGCGGGTGCTGGTGCGGGCCGCGGCAACTAGGCTTGAGAGTTCTGCCTAGTTTTAATCCCTCGTTGGAAGAGGAGTGTCGTTTGGTTGCGACGACAAAGAGCTTCAAGTTGTGGCTCACCTAGAACCACCTTACGTCGAGATATATATGAGATACCGATGCATGAATAGAGGACCATTCACGGCCTGCCACCAATCAATCGCGACATGTGTGGAAAGTGTGCGCGCGGTTCAGCAATACAACAGTCTTTTCGATTGAGGCTTTTCTGATCAGTTTACCGCCCGCCAATACTTGTACATCCCAATCTAATCTAAGAAAACGTCTTTTTAATCTCTGCTTTTGTCCGCCACGAGTTTTAAAACCTTTCAGCGCCAATTTTCTGTGTCCTTGCGGTAAAACAACTGACCGTCTCTTCAGACTGACATAGGAAACCCACCCTTGATCTTCTAACATGCCGGCTTGCGCAGACCCCTCCGTCTAGATAATACCATGCAGCCCACGCGGCTGTCAAACGGCATGGCGACAGACTAATTTGGTGTTGGTGGTACAAGGACCCAAGGCCAAGAACGGTGCAATGAATCAGTCAGTGCGTGAAAAAGGAAAACTGTTGTAGGAAACGTAGGTCAATTGTGCCGATTACCGGCCTAGGCCTGATTGCCAGAGCGAACGGGTGTTCCGGGTGTTTTGTTATGGTTCTGACGACCACGCCACCGACCTCCTCTTCCACGGTGAGACCGTCCTCGACCGCCCCGAAATTGGTTCGATTGGTGAGATGGATGGTCGGAAGAGAGCGCAGGCGCTGTAGGACGAGTGTTCTCTTTTCCAGAGGGTACCGACTCAGACTTGGTAGGAGAAATCGAGGTTTGTTGGTGAGGGACATCGACGTTCTCAGAGGATTGCTCATGGCCTCTATGGTTTGGCGACATTTTTTTGACGATGACGGTCACGGGAGTAGTAATCTCCCTGGCTGCCGGGGTGCTAACCTTCATAGGCAACGCCGGAGCAGACACTCGTCGTAGCTCCTGTAAACCAGTCAGCGAAGAACATAACGCATCCTTTCAGCGCACTTACGGGACTGGAGGTATCGGTTTCGCCATCGTCCCGGGGTTCGTCATCGTCTGCCGGCTGTCCAGTGGACTCGCTCTTCGAGTTAAAGCGACGGCTGGTTGCGTGCGGAGTTCTAAGCTGAACGTTCATTTTGATCACGGTGTCTGCGCTCCCGCCATCGGAATCGTCTCCGTCGTCTCCTACAGGACCCTTTGCCGGGATGTCCGAGGGAAAGTCGCCGTCAGATGAAGGGGAGCTGGCCCAGTTCTTGACACGTCTACGGGTCGGCGAGGCAGTGGGAGTCGTGAAGAGAACTCTGGAGGCTGCGTGGACGAGAGCCGCAGTCTTGGGGGTAAACTCCGCAGCAACAGGGTTCAGCTTGGATCCCTAGGCACAATCAATGGTTAGAATCTGTCAAAGATGAATCTTCGACTGACTCTACCTCTTTCTTGTGACCATTGGGCTTGCCCTCGCTTCCGTTGTTGGCGTCATTGGCCCCCTTTCCGTTCTCATCGTGGGCGGAATCGTCCTTCGGCTTCTTATCGTTGGCCTTCTGTGTGTTGACAGACTCGGACGTCTCGCCATCAGTGGCGTCAGTCTGCTTTCCGTCGGTCGGGTCGTCATCCTTGGGTTTCAAAAACGTCTGCTTGGACCACAGATCGGCATATCTGCCTTTGGCAACCACCAAGTCAGCGTGGTTGCCCTGCTCAACAACCTCGCCATCTTCAATGACCACAATGCGGTCAGCATTCATGATCGTGGACAGGCGGTGGCTAATGCATCTTTGGTTAGCAAATGGGACAGGACAGGGCTCGGGGCAAGCTGAACTTACGCAACGATGAACGTCGTTCGACCCTTGCAAAGCTGCATAAAGGAGTGCTGAATCTTCTGCTCAGTATCGGTGTCCACAGAGCTGGTGGCCTCGTCGAGGAGCACGATCTCGGGCTGCTTGAGGATGGCACGAGCGATAGCAACACGCTGAAGTTCGCCGCCAGAAAGTTTACTGTCACAAGTCAGCTTCGCTTCATTCGCAGGTTCCAAGTTACTCACATTCCACGCTCACCAACCCGCGTGTTGTAGCCATCCGTGAAGGTCATGATCTTATCATGAATGCAAGCCGCCCTGCAAGCGTCGAAAACCTCATCGTCCGAGGCCGTGATTCTGGCGTAACGAATGTTGTTCATAATCGTGTCGTCGAACAGAATGGGGTTCTGAGGGACCAGGCCAATTCGGTCACGGAGACTGTGGAGATCCACATCACGGACATTCTGTCCATCGATGAGAATGGTTCCCTCGGTCGAGTCGTAGAAGCGGTTGAGCAGCTTCAACATGGTGGACTTGCCGGCACCAGTAGCGCCGACGAAAGCCACAGTTTGGCCACCGGGAACAGAGAGGCTGATGCCGTTGATGATCTTCTTCTTTTTGTCGTAGCTGAAACTGACATCTTTGAAATCAACATTGCCACCGACGAGCTTTAAAGGACGCGCGCCCTTCTTGTTGACAATGGTGGGCTGCTTCTTCATGATGTCCAACAAGCGCTCGGCGTCAATAAGGTCGCTTCCTATTTTCTTACCAAGGCTTGCCATGAAGCGGAGTGGTGAGGTCAGTTGGGCCCAGTACATCAGCAACATGGTCAGATCACCAGGCGTGGCCTTGGAGTTCTTGATCCTGTAAACAGCCAGAACCGAGCCGGCCAGTAAACCGCACAGGAGGACAAGAGATTGGAAAGCTTGAGCGGTGAACCAACCAAGACGGACACGCTTAGTCCAGTTGATGCGGGTATGGATGGCGTTGGAGTAGCGAACATCCTCGTACGTGGTCTGGTTGAAGGAAGCGACGGTGTGCCATCCCGTGATTCCAGTCTGGCGTACGTAATGCTCGGCGTACTGTGCATTCACGTGGGCTCGTCGGCGCTCCTTCATGACTGCTATCATCTTGGTCGCGATGAACAGAAACAGAGTGCTTGTCGTGATAGTGATGAAGCCCTCGTACGGTCCAAGGGTGATGGAGAGGTAGACCACAGCAACGACCAAGTCAATGAGCATGGGAAGAGCCTGAAAGCATATAGACTCGAGCAAGTCGGAGATGCTGGACCCCCCATACATGGCCAAGCTGATATCAGAGGTACTCTTGGAGTCGTGGAAGTCGGCCGAGAGGTTGAGGATATGGCGGTACGCAGCGGTGCTCAAGGCTCCATCAGCGTAGACCTCGAGGGGGAGGTAAAGCCACTCTCGCAAGAACTCGATACCGGCGTCAGAGGCGGCGATCCTCAACAGACCGTAGATGCCCACACCAATCCAGGCACTGCTGAAGTCTCTGTCCTTGAGCTCATCGACAATAATACCGAACTGCCGGGGGATGAGCAGATTCAGAGCATTTCCGGCAAGGAGGCAGAGGCCAACAAGAACGAGGCGGAACTGGAGAGCCTTTTGACCGACGGGCCAGAAATAAGGGAAGAGAATCTAGACATACGAGTCAGCAAAAATGTCTTTCAATGCAGAACTGCGACAAACGCCTCTTGGACGGAAGCCAACTTACTGTGAAGCCTTTGATATAGGTGAGCCAGTTGCCCTCCTCCTGCAGCCGCTTCTCCATCTCTTCTTGGGCCTTCCGCTGGCGCTCCTCCCAGTACGACTCAGGCTGGCTGGTTGATCCATAGCCGGAACCTGAGCTCTGGCTACCGCTACCAGAGCTGTTCAGACGTGACTTGGGATCGTCTTGAGCCAGAAGAGATTGTCTTTCTTCATCGGTGGCATCTTCCTGGCTAGCCCGGATTCGTTGAACAACGTAAATCGAGAATATGGTCAGAAGAAGGTAGTACCGTAAGCCAGAGAAGACAAGGTGGCCGATACGGCAGTACTCAAAGGTGATGGAGTGTCGGAGGATGAGGTCTGGGACCGCGATGAAAGGCTCCAGCACGATGGAGATGACCCAAGAGCCCCAGTAAGGAGTCCATACGGGGTGCTCAGTGTCCGAGAGAAAAGCAAGTTGGGTGCCAAAAACCAAAACGCAAGATAAAAGACCAATGACCTCGTGCTCCTGACCAATCCATTCTTGACGGATGATGGATTGGATGCCAATAATGGACAGCTGAGCGACGTAGGTCAGGACGAAGGCGACGAACAGGTTGACGATCCACGAGCGAGGGATATTTTCCTTTCCGGGGTTGGTGGAAGCCTTCAGTGTCTGAAGGGTGCAGACGGCAACGGCAGAAGCAATTACGAAGTACGTGAAGGCCGCGGCCGGATAGAGGTAGTGAAGGCTTTCGAGAAGCTCTTCGAGGGACGCCATTGCGGCGGATTAAGTGGTGGAGTTTGGTAAAAGCAAGCCGAAGAAGGAAAACGACGCAACTAAAATCGATGGAGCTGGGCAACGAGAATGAAGAAAAGTGGACGGTGGTAGAGACGAGCAACGGCTCGGAGGAAGATGGTAGATGGAGTTGAAGTTGGAGCTTGGACAGGACGCACGAGGCAGACAAGGTAGTCCGATGTCGAGCGCCGGCGGAAGCAAGGAAGACGCAGGACGGGGAAGACGGGAAGGTGCTTGCCAGGCGTCTGGTCGATGTTTCGTTTCCTTCCCCGGAAGTCTGTTGGAGAAAAGGCAAGCAAGCGCCAACCGAGAGCTTGGATGAGATGGCCGTCGAACGGACCTGAGCGGGCAGAAGTCAGTTTCGTGTATTCCTTCCGGCAAAGATATTGCAGAGAGGGCGCCTGGGAAGTGACGCGAAGACGGCTTGGAGCACGGCAGACTTACCTTTGATTCCTTTTGCCTCTAGAAAGGCGTGTGAAGGAAGGGAGCGATGCCACACCTGCAAGGTACGGGATTTGATGCCACGATGACCCCGGGCAGATGCTTCAAGTAAAGTACAGCCAGCCAGACACCTTGCTGAGAACTTAGGTTCAGGTGCCAAACGGGAGCGGCCGCCGGATCCAATGACGAGAGGACACAGGAATTGACAAAGAGAGAGCTTGTGTTGAGCGTCAAG